TATATAGTGTTTAGTATAGCTTAAATTAAAAAGGTAAAAGAAACTTAGCTAATTAAAGTAAAAAAGTTAAAAATAATTAAAAAAAGTTTAACTAGAAAAAAGAGGCCTATATATACCCTAGCTCTTACCTTAGTAGCAAGAGCACCTAACTAGACTAGAGTTTCTGCCTAGTAGTAAAAGTACACATTACAAGATTATTTAAAAGGATATAAAAAGTGCTAGTGTTTAACTAGCGCAAAAAATTATAACTTTTTAATTATTTTTTACTAATTACAACTAAAAATTGCCTAATTTAGAGGTAAAAGTAAGTAAAAATAAGTAAGATATAACATATATAAGTAATTATAAGGCATTAGATTAACAATAAGTAAGCTAGGCAGCAGCAGTAAATAGAAGAAGGGGAGAGTCTTACTAGAGTAAATATATGTTGCATGTAATTAATTAATTAGTGTTGTAGAGTTAAACTATGTTAAACAGCAGGTAGTAAATATAAGTAGATAGTTTATAATAATTAAAATGTATAGTAATATAACATTACTATAATTAAAATAGCCTTAGCTTTTTTAATTTTTAACTATAGTCTTACTTTAACATAGTTAAGCCTTTATATAACTTTATCTACTGCTACTACGTCTCTAAATTATTTAAGTAAGATATAAGTATTCTTATAAACTTTTTAAAACTATTAAACTAATAAGCATTATTATAATTAAAGAACTTTTAGAAATAGTAAGTGTGTAAAACTACAACAGTATGCTAGTAACTAGGTGATCTATAGCTAGGAATTTGTCTTAATACATGCAATATGTAGATGGGCTGTGGGTTAGACAAGGGCGTACAAGCTAATACAAGAGGACTAGAGAGCAGTTATGTACCTAACACTGCGCAGTTGTTAAAACTAGCAAGCAACTAACAGCGCACAGCGTCTAATTAGCTGCACTAAGTAAACAGTGCTTTACAACACTATTATACATTATAAAAGTGCTTGCTGTAAGTATATATAAAATAAAAATATATAATTACTTTATTTATTCTTAAAGGCTTTATTAAGACCTTTATTAAAATTACTATTAATTAAATTATTAACTAAACTCTTAGAGTTGCTATAAGTTATGCCCTTAACTATTTCTATAAATTCTGTTACATTAATATAACGCAACTCCTTTGCGCTAATGCTTGCTAGATTAGTTACATCTAGTGCTAGTATATAATTACTAGATATAACATTACTAATGTTAAAGTTTACAACTTTTAACATTAACAACTTAATACTACTAGTAATAATATTAGGGCTTATAATAGGCTAAAGAAGCCCTTAGTTAATTTAACTAGTTAAGCGCTTACAGCGCCTATAACTTAGTAGATAAATAGTAAGGGCAAATGTCTCTAGCTTAACATTACGCTGTGTATACTTATTCTTGCTTTTCTTTCTAAAGGCGCCCTCTATTAGCGCACAAAGTTGCATATAGAACTAGTAAAATAGTGTAAGACAACTAAAAGTAAAGTTTACATTATAAGTCCTATTTTTAAAGTGCTGCATGTTAAGCTTATACACGCAGTTTATAAGCTTAAGCATAATATTAACTGCTTAAAAGGTGTCTAGCTTTTTGTGTACGTTAACTAACCTAGAGGCAAGTATAGACTGCTAAAGCATTAGAGTTAACACCCTATCTAAGACTAACTAGCAGAGGTGTAGCAGCTTAGTACTATAGCGCTTCTAACTAGATCTAAAGAAAAATACAGCTAATAAATTAATTAAGTAATAAATAATTCTAATATTACTAAACTTAACTGCATACTGCAGAGTAAGAAACATCTTAATCTTTTAAAAAAACTAATATGTTATTATCTAGTTACTTTTAGAATTATTATAGCCTTTTTATGTAGTAAGTGTAAAGACCTTTTTATGTATCTGCTTAAGCAACTTAATGTACTAGTTAGGTAAGAGCTAACTAATAGCCTTATTATAAAGACCCTACTAGTATTGCTAGACATCTGCTGCATAGATATCTAGCACCTAGCCTTAGAGATATCCACTGTTGCTTATTTTCTAGTAGAACAATGCAACTATTTAGGCACCCTAGCTTAGATGTATTAGCAGCACAGCTATATAATACTTAACATTACCCTAATTAATACTAGCACAGTTTAAGCGCATAATATTATGTAAAAGATTACTAGAAAAGTCTGTACCTTTAGGCGTATTAAAGTGTGTATAAATAATTATGTAAGTAAGTGCCTAAAAGATATAAAAATACATAAGCAGTCTAATTATCTAATCCCTCTTGTTGTATAGCTAGAACGCGCCACGCTGCTTTTTCTTAAGACTGCGTATAAACTTAGCAGTTTTCTAGTTACCTTATACTATTTATAGCTGTGTTTTAAAGCTTAGCTTTTTTAGATTTGCAGAAATATTTAACTACTAAAGCTAAATATTATTATGCACTTTATAAGTCTTATTAATAACACCCTTATTAAAGAATATTACTTCTAAATAATTTACCTAGCTAGGTTTTTTACATAGTAGGACTTTAATAGCTAGCATTAACAGTAACTAGTCCTCTAAGCTAATAAAGACCTCTAATACAGCAGCACTATAGATAGCAGCTATAGCGCGCAACATATAGCACAATGTAATTTGCTTACTTATATAGTCCTAAATTATGCTAGGCGCTATACAGATCTAATTAGGCTGCAATGCTATGCTAAGATTAAACATAGACTAAGTTAAACTGTCTTTAGAGATCTATAGACATCTTATAATAAGCGCTGTTATTAGGTTCTGCTAGATAGCTATTATAACACTTATAGTGTAGTTATAAGTCTAGTTAGTAAAGTTATAATTATTATACATAATTATTAACTAAGGATTATGCGCAAGACCTAGCAGCCTAGCATTAGGTAAGACATAAGCTATATAACATAATATTATAACTTATAAGCTTTTTATATAGTCTACTATTTTATTAACCTTCTAGTTTATAATCTTATATAAGTTACAAACACCTAAGCCTAACAACGTCTTTATAACGCGCTGTTTTGTACTACTACTATGCAAATATAGACCTAGTAGGTAGGCAAGGTAGTTGCATCTCTTCTAGGCTTAGCAACATAAAATAATAAAAGTAATTAGATACGCCTTACTGTCTTATAAACTTTTAGCCTTACTATAACTATCCTAAGCACTTTACTTATTTTATAAAAGTCTCTTAATAAACCTGCTTTAATTTAGAGCTTAATTAGCTATAATTAACTCTAACTTAGCAAAATTAACCTTATTTAGCTTAAAAGCTGTATTATACTAGTTAAAAAACTTTTGCCTAATAAAACTATTAAGTTCTTTTATAAATGTAATAGAACTAGAGACACTAGTAGCCTTATTATCTTTACTTAATGCTACATAAATGTTTAGCTATTCTAGTGCTAATTAAAAAATTATCTTATATTTACTAGGCAGTAGGGCCCTTAATAACAGCAGGTCTTGTAAATATAACTTAATAAATTTACTTATTAGCATCTACAGCTTATCTATTAACACTAGGACCTGCTCTAGTTTCCTTAATCTTAAGGTGTAAATAAGTGTAGACAACTAGACGTGCTAAGTAGACGCGCCTGCTACTTATAGAGTTATAAAGGGATAAGTTGTTAGAACTAGGGCCTAAAGCTTAGCAGCAACTATAAATAAAAGTAAAAAGAACATAAAAAAAAGTAATAATAAAGGTAATAATAAAAAAGGTAGCAGCTTATCTGCTAGAGGAAGATAAGAGAGTTATAGACGCTAGCGCAGACGTAGGGTAGGACTAGTAGACTTATTAGCTATTTTGTACAGTAAACAACATGCAAAACGTGTAACAATTTAATAGATAATAGCAAGAAGTTATGTAGCTATTAGCCTAAAGTTTAAAGATGTTTAAAGAAAAAAAAAAATGCATAAATATTAATATAATGTATTTTTATATAAAAAGTAAGCACTAAAATTAGTTGTCTATATAATTAATTACTAAAGTCCCTTAGACAGCTAGGGAGAGAAGCTAAATCTAGCATCCTTATTAGCCAGAAAGATAGCGTGAGCGCCACCAGCGCGACTAGCATAGGTTTATGTTGACTAGCAAGGGTATCAGGGGCTCTGCCCCTGTCGGGGCTTCGCCCCTTCTCTCCCCAATCGGCTGAGCTAGCTGAGATAAGCGTTGAGATCCCCGAGCCGGAACATGAATCTGCTCATTCCATATTTGGACTAGCGTATAACATCCTCGTCTCTAATTGCTCCTCTTTTAACCTCGTTTGTATGCACGTTACTGTCCAGCGAAAGCTTTTCAACTCCCACTGGGGTTAATCCCATAAACGCAGCCTCAAAGCACCATGCTTGTTGAACACATATTCCAAAGCTATCCGAACCCAACTCGCAGTAGAGCGCGCATCCTGCCTTCGCAATGCGATGAGCTTGTTCAAATTCCCCCCTGCAGTTTCTTTCTTCTCAATCATCTATTTTCATTCTCTATGTAGACTAGGTACAAAACCTAACCAGCGACATAGATTCGCAGGCAACACAACACCACTACCAGCCCCATCTCACCGGATAAATGCACCATTGGGATCCAATCTCAGAAACCACTTTGCCAACCTTGCCGTGTCCGAATGTTTTGGCTAGCAATACTTCATCACCTCTTTAGATATCGCCTGAAAAATTGCGTGTCCTTAACTTTTTCCACGAGCCGCATTTAACATTCCTCATGAATGACGTCGCTGAACAGGAGCGCAACACTTCTCAGGGCTCCAGCTAACGGCGCCTCTCTCGGGATATTCAAGATAGTGTCAACGAAGCGAATGAGCTTACCGCCATCAGCACGGACGCGAAAGTTCGAGACACTGAGCTCCCCTGTCAAGCCTTCTTCCGTGTCTCCAAGCCTACCGATCTTCATTAGTTCGTTGTCAACGCCCCACTGGGCGTAAGCAGGATGTCCTCACAATATTTCTTTTAGGCCTTTAGTTTTCTTTCACTCCACCTACATAAATTTAACTCTAGTTGTGTTACTTTCGCGAGGATACTTGGAAAACAAAATGTCTTTCTTTTTCAATTTTTTTAAAAGCAAGCTCGTCGCGCCGGAGCGTGTTCCAACAGACACCGTTATACCCCTCCATAGCTGGGATGACACGAAGACGAATCGAAAGCTGTGCATATATTTCTCTGCGCGATTTGACGATGTCTTAGATGTGGAGAAATTGGTTGGAGCGCTAGAAAGGCTGTTAGAGAGGCCTGGGTGGAGGAAACTAGGGGCGAGGATGAGGTTGAATGTATGTATCACCACCTATCCAATACACCACTGTATACACATGAATTTCTGACTTGAGTTTTTGGAATAGGAGCAAGATAAACTGGAATACCACATTCCCAAGCGATACACCCCCTCCCGCCCAGCCATAAACTTCACGCACGCTTCACACTCGACATCGATTTCAGATCATCCTCTTGCATCCCAGATCCCACACGCGACCTCGTCCTTATCTGTAAGCGGAAACATCGAACGCTTCCGCGATATCTTGACTCCGCCTGATCAACCATCGAAACTCGAGGACTGGATATATACTGACCGCGCACAACTCCAACTCCATGTAGTCTCGTTCACAGACGCGACGCTGGTCACGCTGACATGGCTGCACACGCTTCTCGATGCTATGGGTAGAAACCAATTGCTTCGAGCCTGGTCAGCTATGCTCGAAGGTCGTGAGCAAGACATTCCTGATTTATACGGCTATGACTTCGATCCACTCGCCACGCTCGGTGCTCCAAAGTCACTTCCGGACTCGAAACTCGAAGACAACGACGCCGACGAAGAGGAAGAGCCGTTCGTGCTGGCCCACAAAATGCTCAAAGGCTGGAAAATGCTACTCTTCGCATTCCGCTTTGTCTGGGACCTCACTATGCACCGCGCAGAACACCAACGCATGATATGCATCCCCCCGTCCTTTCTCTCCAACCTGAAAACCTCTGCCATGGCCGACCTGAAAAACATCTCCCCACTCTCCATCGTAATGGACACATCCAATCCCTCTTTCTCCAAACCTTTCCTCAGCGACGGCGACATCCTCGCAGCATGGTGGCTACGAACGCTCATTCCCTCCCAACCCTGGTCACACCGCGCCTCTCCTAGAAAAACCATCGCCTTCATGAACGTCTTTGGCATGCGCAGCGTGCTCACAACCACTGCGCCGGCCCTCCTCCCTCCAGGCCCGGGAACCGCGTTCATCAGTAACGCCGTCATGGCCATACACTCACACTTCACATTCCAGGGTCTATTATCCAAACCCCTCGGCCTGGTCGCCGCGCAAATCCGCACCGATCTCGCGCAGCAGAGTACGAGATCACAGGTGGATGCGCAGGCGCGGTTGATGCGAAACGGATGGCGGGACTCCGGATATGCCCCTGTGTATGGTGAGAGTGATATGGCTATTGCGGTGATTTCGAATTGGACGAAAGGGAGGATGTTTGAGACGGATTTTTCAGCCGCAGTGGTGAGTGGGGGGAGGAGAGCAGGAAGTATGAGGGGCAGACCCAGCTACGTTCAGGCTGATGGATGCGCGAATGGGTTTTCCGTGAGGAACTCCGGGTGTGTGGTTGGAAGGGATGGGGAGGGTAATTATTGGGTTAGTGCCATGTTGAGGCCGAAGGTTTGGGATGAAGTTGAGAAGGCTATTAGAAGAATGGCTTAGAGTTGGGAAAGAGAATTTGTTGTTAGTGGGAGGGAAATAGGGGATGAGGCACAGCAATCTGGCCGCTCTTCTCCGGTTTCGGCTCTGCCTTGAGACTCGCGGACGATGAGCTAGGCACAACCACAATTTCATATTTCAAACTACGGACACAATCTCCCCGTACACCAACCCGCTCTCATAGCCCTTGCGTTGACGCCTTGTCAACCACATTCGGCCGTCAATTCGGTCTTGCAGAAGAAGCAAAGTAAAGAGAGTCGATGACAGATAGGTCCAATCAGTTGTAAGGAACGTAGAGAAGAAAGAATCGGAGTAAGAAATATCGAGAAGAGTATTGGGTTGCATTACATTTTCAAGATGCCTTGCGTCAGCATGCTGTTCTTGCCATCTTCATCGTCGTCTATATCCCCGAGGGTTGACCACTATGATCGGCAAGGAGAGATGAGGCATATGGCGGGTTACATGAACCACATACCCAGCTACGACCAAGTCAGCGTCGTTCAAGCTCAAATGTGCATGTAGGAAAAAAGGTTTAGCTCACATTACCCCACGTGTTTCTCTGCTCCTTCTTCTCCATCTCCTTCATCTCCTCCGTTACGACCGGAAGATATTTCGGCGGTGTGTACCCGTACGTCAAAGTGCTACTCGCCGAGGTCAAGAGCGTCGTCGCGGGATAGCTAGTTGGTGTCACAATGTCTGAGGCCGTATTGCCTGATATAGTGGACGTGGGCGCAGAGACTGGGAAACTAGTTGGCACAGCATCTGTTGAGGTGCTGCTAAGAGATGAGAAGGATGACTCGGAAGGGTATCCTGCGCCAGAAGAACCTGTAGAGACAGGGAAGCTGGTAGGTACGGCATCAGTCGTGGTCCAGGTCGTGGATGATTGGGAAGTCCAAGGAGCGGTGTCAGGAATGGACCACGTAGTGAGGTCGGACTCAGTGGATGGTAATACAGTGCTGGAATCTGAGGCTAGAGATAACAAGGTGCTACTGGAGTAAGCCGGAGTTGGAGACTTGGTGGATGAGGTCCTGAAGGACGTTGAGCTTAGTACTGAGGTCGCCGAACTCTCAGATGAGGTGCTGCCGGGAGCTGAGGTTGATGAACACCCGGATAGAGTGCATCTAGAGGTAGGAATCTCAGCCGAGGAACTCTCCGAGGAAGTGATGCTGGGTGTCACTGTAGACGAGCTCCCGGACGAACTCGTTCTAGACAGAGGGCCTTCAGTCGACGAGATCACCGAGGTCGAAACTATAACTGTAATGGTGCTGATAGGTGGTGTGAGGACTTGAGAAGTGGGTCTCTCTGATGAAGTAAGGCTGGAAGTGGGAGTCATTGTCGATGGGTTCCCAGAAGAGGTGCTGAGAGTAGTAGACGACGAACAGTCCCCTGGAAGCGTGCAGCTGAGGGTTACAGTTGATGAGCAACCTGAGAGAGTGCAGTTGGGAGTTAGGGTCGACGAACAGCCCCCTGGAAGAGTGCAGCTGGGAGTGGCAGTTGATGAGCACCCTCCTGGGAGCGTGCATCTTTCTAAAGAAGTGCTTGGCGTCGGAACTACAGTAGACGAGTTCGAATAAATGGTGCTTGTAGCTTCTGTAACAGTTGATGAAAAGCTTGACATTGTTGTGGTGTTCGTATTACTCCCACTAGTTACGGGCACGATACTCGACGTTGTTGTGACACCCGTATTGCTTTCGCTAGTCACAGGTACCATACCCGACGTAGAGCTCGATGCTGTATTAATGTTCGAGTTGCTCCAAGGCGTCTGTGAAACAGTATCGGGTAAGGTACTTGTGGCATTTTTGGAGAATACAGACCATGATAAAGGAGTGCCAGTCGACAATGGAACTCCATATCCAGAAGAGGTAGTCGCGTTCAAGGCCTGGGTCAAGGTTGAGAGGGGCTTGAGAGATGACGAAGATGCAGTGCCTCCGGAAGAACTCCCAGATGATACCGTGCTGTTGGGAAATGGAGGTATAGCTGAAGCTGAAGAGCTGTAACTAGAGCCAGTCGTCAGGGGCGCTGTTGTCAATGGTGCAGTGCTCAAGATAATGAAACTGCTCGTTGTGTTTACAGGGAAGCTAGTCGGAACTGCGTCTGTTGAGGTCGAGGGCCTTGGGGTGGTCTGCACAGTGAACATGTCAGTGTCCCAGAAGGGAATTTTCGACGAAGTTCGGATGGACAGGGGAATATTAGTGCATTCTACGATCCCTCCATCGCTGATAGAACAAGTTGTGAACGCATTTACGGATGATGAAGCAGAGGCGGAAAACGACGAAAACCTGGGTGGCGGTGTAGCTGAAATCACAGTGGTGCTAAAGATGGTCTTGGTTTTACGTACTGTCGAGTTTAGGGCCATTGTGAATGATGGGAGTGAAGTAGTGGCAGGGCCGGTGGTGAGCGGCCCCGGACTGTTGGACGACGAAGCTCCGTAAGGTGGAGGATACGTTTGATCTGTCGAAGTCAGAATGCTGAAGGGTATCAATGAGAAGAAGACCACTCGTACATCTTGGTCTAATATTCCAGGGCATGCGAACTAGGTCATAATTAAATGTCAGCAGCCGCCTAACTGGGTGACCTTTGTTAAAAAAAAAAATTACGAAAACTAGCTAAAACTGAAGGCGCAAGCATTGATGATGACAGCTTGAACGTATTGGGAGATTTCAAACTGAGAACGCGGATGAAGAAATGGTCTATACCTCGTAGGGGCTCAGAAGAAGCCAAAGAGAGCACCGATGCCACAGCAATGTAATTTTTGAGCTTCATGGTGGATGCCAGAGAGCGAGAGAACCTTTCTAAGCTCTTGCGAATTCCTAAGTGAATGTTGGATTAAGCGAAGGGAAGCCTCAAAAAGGAGACACGTCTAAGGGCTGAGCAGGGTAGAGTATGAAGGGTACCCGTTTATAAGAAGCTTCTGATGTGCCACTGCACAGTATCATCCGCGGATGTGTGATGATAATACTGCAGATGGAGCTGCACATCCTATGCAAGACGGCAGCGTGCATCCCGTACTAGGAATCCGAGCATCTCACCCGTTTTGCTCAGCCTTCTTCATTCTTGAAGACCCAGTCCAACTTGTTTAGGAAAAAGTTTGAGGAAGAACTGGGGCTCGTGCCTCAAGCTTACTTATCTCAAAGACGAATAGGTGGCTGGAGAAGCGTGCCGGGAAGGCGCGAGAAATTGCGGGAACTGCCAGCAAGTACCCATCGTGTTGTATGCTGATAGATTGGGCGTAGGAAAGTGTAACGTTGGAAAAATGGTTTCGAAGTTGAACCTTGGTATCGACCGCGGAACCAGGATGTCGCCCCCAGACGTGCCACAACATTGCTTGTTTGGCTCCCTGTAACGCCAGATTAAATTGAAGCCAAAAAAAAACCAAATAGTGACCGCAGCTCGGAGATATTGGCATGACCGTACTTAGTCGATCTTGGAATCGTAAAAGTCCACAACACTGATGCTATAGGCAAAGTCATGTTGCGGTCTTATCAACCCGTGTTGGCCAGTGTTCGATGTCGATCCGTTTCTCCGTCGCAGTTGGGCAACGCTCGCCTCCCATGTACGCCACTAGTGATACAGTCCACTGAAGACCCACTATCAGGCAGCGTACAGACAGACGCCTCTCACATTGTTTCGCGGTGGAGCTACGGTGTACATGCGGGAGTCCCTTTCGCCGCACGCGAGATCCCGAATACTACGTGAAAGGCCCATCCCAGCCGAAGAAGCCACTAACCACGTTAATGTCTCGAAATATGGCCAGGCTGTTTAATGCGGCGCGGATGACCACCAGGCTGCTATCGGAATGTCTCCGTATCTTGGTGGAAGCAGTTGCGCAAGCCATTAATGTAATGCATCCAGGACTGTGACTAACCGCCGTAGACATAGTTGTCCTGCTATACAGGTGCTCTGCGTACGACAGAAGAATGGGTGGAGCAAGGCAGTATGGTTAAGTAGTCCGTTCCGAGGCTTACAGGTGCCACTGCTTGTTTTATGATTTGGGGTATCAGAATATGTAGATTTGCAGATATGCAGGAACAAACGGTCGACCCTCCGATGACAGCTCTGTCACACAGGAGCAGCTTGAGTAGCAGTAGAGGGTCGAGGTTGCTATTCCAGAGAGAAGTTCCTGGCTAACACACGGAAGATGGGTGCATCAATCGATGAACGACAGGACCAGATTTGGCAGCCAGTGGACGGGTACCGGTTACTAGAAGCGTCTGTGAATGCGTTGAGGTGCCCGGGTCGTGCAAGATCAAGAGGACAGACTTCGAGAAAGATGTTCAGGTCCTAATCCCAATATGGACACAGCCAGTGTGTGTGAAACCTCGCCTTTCCATTGCTGTTGACTTATGCATCAAAATCCGTTAGATGTTGAGCTTTTGAAGGACCCTTACCCCTTAGCCACCCCGCGTGATTGGCGTTTTGGCGGCCATGTTTCTCATGCTCCTCTTCATTCTACGTTACGCCTCTCCTTTTGATGAACCCTTGACCCTTAGCCAACCCGCGTGATTGGCGTCTTGGCCGCCATGTTTCTCGTGCTCCTCTTCATTCCACGTTACGCCTCTCCTCTCGACAACCCATCAAAGATATCAACGCTACCAATACAGATATCACAGGGTGAGGTAGGATCGTGATTTGCACTAAGATCATCGAAGTTGCTTTGGAACAACAGACCACCTCTGTGGATTTCTTCATTAATTTGGACCTAACGGTAAAGGTGCATCAAGGCTGTGATTTGCCTGTTACCGTTGCAAAGCTTCAAGTGCCATTGACAAGTCCCCTGTACACAGACACGAACTCTCGAGGAAAGGGGAGCCACAGGCCTAGAATGCAAGAAATGTGGCCTGGGTGAATAAAGAAGCTCCTATGTGTTAGGAACAGAGCAATTGGGGCAAGAATTAAGGCCATCCGATTATATCATTACGAATTACATATTCCGCAACTGATCTCTGAAAATCGTAGAGAGGAGATATCTAAATTACGGTGAGAGAACATGATATTGAAATGAAATCACAAAGAAATCGCTCGCCGTTAGGAACCCATAGGCTAATAACACAACTGGGACCAGCAGAGAACAAAACGTGTTGTAATATCTGCGTGCCCTCCTTTCTGCTCATTAGCCCTCAATGGGAGGTAACGGAAGGCCTCTTATCTAGGTAACATGATGGAGTATTGGAGGAAAAACGCGCTAGAAAAAAGAGAGATGTGTGGTTAAAGAAAAAAAGACTCCACCAATCCCTTCGGAACGACGCCCTCCGTTGGGACAGCGTCGTGTATCGAAAAATTCACGTTCTCCTTTTGTCTCGTTGAACTCCCTCTCCTAAAATCCCAGAGCATTGCTTTCATGAAAGAAACCATATCCAACCGAGAGGTGTATGAAACAAATCTACAGTCTCCTCAAACTCCTCAACACATATCGTTACTTTCGTTATAGAAATAAAGCCGGTCATCATTCCAGTAGGCGAAGTCTGGAGAAAACGCGCTGATCCAAAAAAAAAACACGCATTAAGGTATCAAAAAAAACACGACGAGCAGATGAAATGCAATGAACCGTGTATGTCCTTGATCGAATTCCGTGACACTTTGCAGGGGAAATTTAAATGTAAAAAATATGATAGACTTGGGGTCTGTCGTTGTGATGGGGGCATGCTCTACGAGCAGATGCCATTGCCTACAAATTGCATGTACGAAGATTCGCACCGTGATGGATTCGATGCTAATGGATAATTAGGATCAGCTGCTTCGACGCACTGCGAGTACGAGGTGTAGCTTCAAACAGCCACACGCTGGCAGTGTCGAAACTCAAGCTCCCATCGAAAGGTGGCTGTAGTGAGGGGACCCGATTTGATACGTCTTCGTGGTTCTGGGGGATACCGCTAGTTGAGCCACTAGCTCTGTGTGGAATACATCTCTGTATTAAGCCATTGGTCATCGAAATCTTCCAGGCTTCCTTGGTTACTATTTGTCCGCAAGATGCCGTTGGGCTGGAAAGCATCGCTAATGCTTCCATACTCCCACTCAGGAGAGTTAACAGTCCCGAACGGAGACACTAAAGCATCAGACACCGCTGAGTGAGGATTGTTGGAGGACGAACGCTCGGCGGCAGTATTGAGATGGATGCTCTCTCCTGGTGCTAGTGTTTGGTTCATTCCTGAAATTACTGGACTACTGGAGATGGCAGCTCCCAATGCTGCTCCACTTGCTGTTCGTGGTGACTTCGGGGGAGGGTTTGGGTTGTAGCTGTATGTTCCGGGGAAAGTAGGCTGTGAGACGTGTTCACTATCGGCCATGAACATTGAAGTATATGGGTCGAACGGATCGAGAATTGGGCCGACGAATTGCTGCGATTCGGGGGGAAGGGACATAGACAGAGGGTTCATGCTAAAGATCTGAGACGTGGTTCCATAAGCTGTCGGCATGTGTGTGCTAGTTGTTGGCGGTTTCTCCATATGTGACGTCGGCGTTCCGTCCGCTAAGGGCGAAGAAGATTTCTGGGCACTGTGAGATGTTGTCAATCGAGACAGCGAAGGACGCATTTGGTCTTCTGGACTCTGATGAGACAATGCTTCAGCCTGAGGAGGGAGCGACATTCTTCTAGAATCATCACCGCGAGGAAGACCAGCCATGGTGCCAATGTGCTCCGTGGACTCCTGGAAGCTTGGCATCTGTTGCGGCGTTGGGATTGAGGCCGATCGGTGGTGCGCCTGTGGTCGAGGCGGTATGTTGTATGGAGAATAGCTATCGCTTTGTGGGATCTCACAAAAGGTTGGTTGAGATTGGTTTAAAGCTTGCGGGGAGGAGGTAACGATATGAGGGGGTAGATTGAACGCTTGGGTAGACTGGTGGTTCGTCTGCGGAATCTGGTTGAACGCCTGGGGTAGGAGCATCGAATTAGGTAAGTAGTGAGGATTGATGGTGGACGGGAACTGAGTGGCATTGGGTAAGAACGGATGCCCGTAGCCCAGCATAGGAATACCCGGGTGCGGCTGCGAAATCCCACTCCCGTTCCTCACAGCCATTTGGGTGGCAAGATAGTTCTGAAGCCTTCGATTGAACATCATGGAGCTCGTCTGGAGGTGTGCGCTCAGACGTTGATACTGAGTAGGGATGTCGTCGTCCTCCTCCTCATACATTTCCTCGTTCACAACATCTTGCTCGGTAACACGCAGGGCACGCCCGGTCCGCTTTTTATGTATCTCCGACGCTCGACGCGCCGATTCTACTCGGGCCTCAAGACTACGATCACTTCGCCTAGAGGCAGCGATGTAAGCTCTGGGGGATAAAGTCAGCACAAGCCTAGTGGCGTAGACAAAGAGCGATGACATACCGCTCTTGATTCTCTTCGTGGGTGCGTTCGGTTTTGACTGGCCTCACAGTCCCAAGGGTTCTTAAAGGCGGCATGTTTGTAGTCGATTCGGACTGTGACGGATGCAGAAGTGTGGCACGGAACGAAGTTCGGTGCACCCAGAAGCGCAGTCGCCTACAAGATCCTTGAGTAAGAGCAGGACGACACTCTAATTAAACGGAGAATTAAGAGAGACACAAAAGCCTGATGTGATGTCGAAAGTGTGTCAGACAAGAGCGGAGAAGTGCAGCGAGAGAGGGGAACGCGGTGGCAATTGTCCTGCCTTGGGGGGAGGGGAGGGGGGGGGGGGGAGGCTGTCCGCAGGTGGAGCAGGCCGAATAATGGGCCGAATGAATTGGGGCTAACCTTTGCAAGCGTTGCAGGCGTTTACCAATGCAAGGGCAGAGGCAGAAAATGCCAGGTCGAAAAAGGCGCGCCTATTTGACGTTGGCCACAAATCGGACAAGTGGGCTTCGCGATACAGAAATTCAGCAAGGTGCGAATCTGGGAGATTCCGGGGTACAGCGATCGTAGAATGTGCTGTTGGCGGTCGGCAGTCCAGGTGTTCGATCCCGGTGACTTCGGTGGCGTTTCCGAGGGGTGTACGAGCTTTGAACAGAATTTGAGAAGCGATACGAGGTGGTACCTGGCGGACTAAAAGCAACGAAGAAAAGTTCTTTTGGAGAGCCTTTGTGGTGCGATGAAAGATTGCCAATGTGACGAGTTGTATAGTGGCGCTGCCTTATCTAACAATAAGATGCAACGTCCTAAGGGGAAGAGGAGTTTCTTGCGAGGAGAAAAGAAGGTCGCGGGGGTTCTCAAGCAGCGCAATAAGTACTTTGAGGGTGAGGGCAGTTGTTAGGGAGTAGAAAAGAGTAGCAGCAGTGAGCGATCATATGAGGGTTCAGTCCGCCTCGCTCGTCGAACTGCACCTTGTTGGCAGAATCGGCGAGAAGCTCAAGCCAAAGTGGAGCATGCTAGCTTCTTAAAACGAACAAGACAGAGCAAAAGAAACAACTCAAAACGTTTGTCCGAGTGGCGATCGCAAGGCGCTAGGATCTTGTGGCACCATCTACCTAGATAGACGAGACGCCTAGACATGAAAGAGGAGAGGGCTAACAGGAAGCGTAAACTCACATGCGTGTGCAAGAATAGCCCCCGGCCGCAACTCTTCCGTAGGCCAGCCGCTACAAGGACTAGCACTGCAGCAGATGGAGAGAATTCCGGTTCGTCGTCTTCAGACCCATTACCGTTGGGCCAGCGATATGGTCAGCCTAACCAAAGATCCCGTCTCCTGCACGCCTGGGCTTGGGCAGGTTGGAAATACGAGCAACGCTGCAAGACCTAGGGTCTTTGAACGGCGTCAGTAGCAGATACACTGTAAAGGGCAGGGAAGTAGCGACGTTTGACGCTCCCTGGAGTGAACTTTTCATCTGCAAGCATCAAAGAACTTCGCCCCCGAACTCACCGCGTTTCCAACCCCGGGCCGATTGCACCAGATGGGCAGAGAAACTGAGATACGCGAGTGTCTCAAATAGACCTAGCGCCGATCTGATCGAACTTCTGTTCTGCTCTCTCAAAGCCCCTTCCTTGCGTCTTACCCTCGCGCAGATGGGATCGTACCCCTTCATGGCTATGGCATTCATTGGCTGGGAGGCTATCAGCTCAAGGACCGCAACCCACCTGGGTGGGTCTCAGGTCGTTTTTCTCCGCTGGCATTTTCTTCGGAAGGTCAGGAACACACATCGGGACGATCCTTACTGGTTCCTGTCTTGCACAGTTCGGCTGCAAGGCTGGCAACCGAAAACCACTATGGACTGTAGCATTCACATCGAACTCCTAATTGGCCTCCTAGAACTCAAATACTGCTGCGAGCTAACGGTTAGTGAAGAAGCCCTACGTCACACGCGAACTCCTGGCGTTGCTGGCCGGTACTAGTTCCGTTATCTTGGGCCGGCAAGAAACAACACCGCTTCCACTACAACAACCATCGCCAGCCGCGAGGCAGAGCATGCAGAACAACGCTAACCACACCATCCTACAAAAATGGTTGGACCTGCTGCTCATCGCCGCTGTCGTGCCTCAACCATGAAGAACCGCCAGCAGACCCACCTGCATCAGAAATGGGCCATGAGCCATGGGTTCCGCGAGTCTGGACAACGGCCTACCCTCCACTCCATCTTATCACGATCATTTATACTCCAAGATAGTTTGTTTGTTGTTCTTCGTTGAGAAGAATAATGTCCCCATTCGCTCCCTCCATCCGAACTTGAGCTGAACATGGCTTATCTCTACGTAATGTCCGTCAGGGTGGGTGAATATGACTGGCTGACATCTTACCGCACTATAACGGCGCCAAACTGCTTGACAGCTCTTCGAGACCCTTACATCGATTGGATGTGCATGGGACAATCGATTTCCCAAAACGGCTGCGAAGAACCTCCAGACCAGCACGAAATCTTCCGATCAGGTTGATTCGGCTGAGCTTTGCTCGTAGCTTGGCTGCTATCGCAATCAGTAGCTATTCTGCCCATATCGGACATGCGAAAATGCGGAGAGCCAGATTTTGAGCTGGTTAGATCCTTCTGCACTCACTCCCAGTAGGTGCAGGACCCTCCGCTACATAAGTTGTATGATTGTACTACCAGTAGTCACGCTTGCACAACAGCCCTTTTTTTTCTTGCCCTTTTACCCCACAGAATTTGCTCATTGGCCGGTTGGCGCGAAAATGACTCCACTGCCGAGTCTTACATTACCTCCCTCCCGTGAGGCCTCATTGGCCAATGCTCTGTTCCTCATGGATAGGGAAGTAGGTTTGACTACTCAAGTCTGTTGTGGAGCTAGCGCTGCCGGCCTAACTCTCCTGGCCACTATTAGGGCCAAGGACATGAACGTTCCTTATAGCCTCGCTGGAGGCCAGATTTATCGAACTCTCTCGGCACTGTGTCCAAGCTAACGCCCCAGCCTGCAAGATGAAGACAAGATCGATTCTAGCTGCGGGAGCTAGTGGAGAGTGGACGCGAGTGGTATGAAGACATGTTGAACAGTAGGAGGGTACAAGGACCAGCTGCCTTTTCCTTGTACCCCTTGACGCTCCAGGGACCATGACCTTGTCCCGCTATCGGGCTAACTGCTCCTTGCGTTTGACGAAAGCTAGACTCCTCGACGCTCGTATTCGTTTTCGATCTTCACATAAAGATGTATCTCGCGGGAAAACATCGCCGACCATGTAGGTTCATTCAGCCAGTTTCATTAATATCGCCAATCTACAGCACAGGCTAACCAGCTCATCCAACTGAATCTTCATTTCTGACTATGCCAACATCTTTATTCAATCTCTCAATCGCATAGCAGCGATACATCTCATGGCACGCTAATCATCAGCGTTTCATCTTTGGTTTTCGTGCCATGCTAATTTGCCATGAATCCCAAAGTGGTTAACTGATATCTCGGCATTAGTGACAGAGCTACCGACATACGCACGCCTAGCCGGACTGCACAGAGGATACCTCCACGGAAAACCCTTCAGGAATTTCTAATCGAAAGCCACGACCGAAACCTGAGGCTGTGTTTCCATAGACTGCATTCCTCATAGGACCATTTGATTGCTGTTGCGAAGTTGCCCTGCTCACGATAAAGCACGATTTGCTTCAGATCACCGCACATCTGTGTGCTGACCTCACAATTTCTCTGCTAACAATCGCTGCGCCTAGTAAGAAGGTGAGGCTTCTTGCCCATTGTCTCCTGATCTCTGCTGCATCTCGACATTAGCCCCAGTCTCGTTCCACCAACCTTAAGAACGCGAACTTTCCAGCCCCTATAGCATTCTACCATTCTCTGAATATGACAAACCACGTGTTTGACATCACAACGGTAATGGGGCAGACGAAGTCTGTAGGTCAATATGGTAAGGTTTATGGCAAAGCTCTGTCTCTTTCGTCGTCTATATTTGCAACTTTTGATTATGTTGGCGCCACTTCCGCACCGTTTTCTGACCTAGGCGCCACAAGAGTATTGTTTCCATACCTTCATATCTACAAAAATACCTTCCTCATACACCGTAGCTTTCACGGTTGCATGTCTACATTCACATCGATAAGAAGAGAGCAATTCTCGCCGTGACGAGAACACATGGGTAGGATATCCCTGTCGCGAATGAGCAAATAATTGTGGGTATCCACGACGCCTCGGAAAGGAAGTTTCCGTCAAGCCACCCTTCCTATCGCGAGCAGTTGTGCGAACATGTGTTTTATTGCCCCGACACTCTGCTACATGTCACACACCGCCAACGAATGCTTCACCATATCCATTTCGACTACATATGCACCCAATCCTGGTAATAGCGACTGCGGGGGGAATCTCCAGAAGCTGCTGACTGGACTGGTGTCAACACCTCACCGCCTCCTTAATCCTCTACCCTTTTTGCTATTTCCTGTTTCGAATCACCGCACTCTGGTTTCTTCAATTGAGGCCATTAGTAGATGGCCAGGTTCCACAAAGCGAGTTCTTAGTGCGCCGATGATGATACGCCCATTTTCTAGCCTCCCAGCCAGCACCTAATTTCTATATCCAATATCGCGAATAGGTTTTTTCACCCACACTCCATCCCCTCCGCCAACACCGTTATCGTGTGCTTAACCGTCAAGCCATGGCTTCAGTAGCGTGCGTATGTCGAACCCTTTCCACCTTGATTCACCTGCACATAATCCGGCTTCCACGTTGCCCGCCCGCCTCTCTGTAGGCCCACCAAAACATCTCGCCGCCTTAATCAGCAAGCTAACATGGCATACCGAACGAATCCCCTCTCTCTAATCCCACACACCACGAGCCGTCGCTACGATATTCGTGCCGTATATGAGACAACGGCACCAGCCGCGGCTAGGAAAATTTCCCCTAGAGATTCTCGTTTATTCTCGTCGTTATCAGGGTCCAGTCAAGAAGAAACGCTACCACACCACGCCAGCAGAGCAGATTTATGTACTCGCTTATGCAAGTCTCCGACGCCTCATCTCTGGGATAGATGTGATGGGATGAAGGAAAGATGAAGTACGAGAACGGTGGTTAAGGTCGAGTAGATGGATTACGTCGAGGATCGACGATTTGGGAGTGTTGCGTTAATTCTAGGTTTCGATGGAAGTGGGGAAGATGAGAAATCCAGGTCGTAGAGCAGCCAGCTTACGAGTCCTAAGACATACAGATAGCCGGACAGAAGAGCGTGACAGTAAACCACCTGATTTCGCAATCTGATACTCCCGCCACCTTCCAGCCCTCCATCTCTCGGTTTACTTCTCTCCTCCAAAATGCTCTCCCCATTCTCTCCCCCTCTTCTTCACCTTATAATCCTAAATCCCAACGACATATGTATCACGAATCCCTTCTATTAATCCAACCATACGCCCTTATGCTCTCTTACAACTCGGTACGTATACACAACACAAGCCATCCGCAATCTCCTAGAGATAAAAAGAAGAATTAAGTCAAAGTGCGGTACCAGGCAGTGGTGAGAATCCCTCCCGGTAAAAACGTGCTCACACGCAGCTGTATCATTTGGATTTGCATGGGATTCCAGGGAAATCTATTCGGCTGCTGGGAGTTACTGGTATCAACCTCATGCTTCCATCTCTAGAATGAACTCAGCCTAACTGGTCTTACACACCATGTAATGTTGACTTCTATCTGGCATGGACATAAAATCGCAGCATATCGTTTTTGTTTTTCATACTTTTCCTGCGTCCCGGATTTAAGAATAGCTAACTCACATGCTCTGTCGTATTCCATTTAGTTCTCTTCATATAACTCCAGAATAGAAACTGCGATCATTCTGGCTACTGCCACCACAGCGAATCTAAGCTAGCAAGCAAGCAAGCATTACAAAGGCCGACAGACTTCGATTTTTGGTGTGGGTGTGTTGGCCTCAGTGCGTTCAAGGGATATAGTGGAAAGATCGGGAAACTGGCATACACCTGTTGCCAAATACACTGGATATTTGTTGCCTAGCATAGCATAGCAGATCATACATAACCCCTTTCCACCCATCACTTCTATAAACGTAAGAAGTCTGATCCATGACCATGCACGCCTGAACTATGCAGCACGATGAGAGAACAAAACCCCTGATAGCTATCCCATCTCATCCCGTCTCATCCCGTCGCATGGTAATCAAACCTGAACTTTTCGACCGGGAGATCGCACACACTTCAAGCTCGCATAGCGCCACATCGCACCTTCTGCAGCGCCCATTTCATATCCATCCCCAGGCGCATGCCCCCTCACAGATGCATCCACCATGCTCTCTAGAAAACAAACCTCATGAGCTTCTCGACACACTAGCTCACTTCGCGACAGCCGCACTTAGGACCTGTGTCCTAAAGAAGCCGCCTTTCGTCCTCTCAATGACTTGCTGATATACAGACTGTGGCGGATGATTCATGACGACTGTTCCAGCCTGGTAGTCGATCTTGGCGTCGACACGTGTGTCGCGAATGAGGTTGACAATCCATTTCTCGCCTTCATCCTGTGAGAGGCCGAGACGGGTTGATAGATCCCTATCACCCCAAAGTCAGTAAAAGCCCACAACACAACACATTACGTAGAAGAATGGGGGGATGGAGGGGGGGAAAGCGGGGAAGAGACGTACTTGATGTCAATCCTCTGATGAATCTTACAATAACTCTCGGAAATCAAATGCCTTGCAGCATCCACAAACGCATCCGCGGTCCCGAGTAAGAAAAAATCATTCTTAAGAATCTCCTCCGTCTCACTCAGCTTTTTCTGCGCCTCCACGAAATCAAAATCGATGTACAGCGCCTTGATGAAATCCGTCACAGGATCTGAATACTCGTACCCCTCCTGCCTTACAATCCTAATGAGGTCTTTCAGCTGTCGCTGGTACTGGTTTGAGTTCCGCCCGCGGTTGCGACTCGTGATGACGGCGGCTGAGAGATAGCGCAGGATCCAGGGACAGTTTGTTTGGATAGTGTTGATGAAGTTTGGGGAGAAGAAGAGTTCGGTGAGTTGGTCGCGGACGGGCTCGTGGTTGAAGAGCGGGAAGAGCGACCAGTGGATTAGCCAGGTGCGGTGTTGGAGCTGCGCGAGCGGGTTGGCGAAAAGGCGCGTTTCGATCGAGTCCTTGAGCTTGTTAATTTCTTCCATTGCGGAGTCCCAGTTTACCGAGAGGATTTCCGAGGCGAGTTTGCCCCACGTGGCTTCGGCGACTTTGTCGTTGTCTGTGGACTTGGAAATATTAGCGTCGCCCATATCTCATCATGTCCCCCTCTCCCAACCCCCGAGAATAGAAAGAGGAGGTGAGAAAGTCTTACTAGAACCCTGAACCGATACAGCAACTCCGCCGCATGGGGGTAAACCCCACAACTATACTGAAACTGTCCAAACTCATAGAGCTGGTTCACCATGGCCACGTCCACGCCATGGTTCTCCTTCAAATACGCCAGATTTTGCACCTTGTCGCTCCTAAGATTGGTCACCACATTCTCATCGTCAAGCAGCCCGGAAATCTTGCTCGTGTCCTCCTCGAGCTGGTCGCGCCGCTGCAACACTTGGTCCCGCTTCTTCTTGAACTCGTCGGGCATCTCGTCCAGGTCGTGGATATCTTGGTACAGCTGGCCGACGAAATCAGTCATGTTGGTCGGCTTGAGGAGTTCGAGGAGGAGTTTTTTTTGGGAGAGGGGCTGCTCGGCTTCTTCGTCACTGGAGAAATTGAGGAGCGGGTAGATGAGATGGCGGTCGAGATTTGGCATGAGCTTTGGGAGGAGGTTGTATTGCTCGGCGATGTTGGGAGCGCCGCCGTTAGTCGTGTCCGCCATGGTGGGCGTAGTGTCCTCTTTCACAGAGGTGGGCTGGTGAAAAGAAGCGAGTTTGCGCAGACGGGGTGAGGTTCAGGTCGTGGATGCGGCTTGGAAAAGTTGGTGGGGGACTTTCTAGGTTCTGTCACTTCTGTGGGCGGCGGGTGCACGGACCACTCAACTCGTTTACGAAAGTTTCGATGTCGAGCCGCACACCTTACATCAAACCTCATATCAGAGCTTGCATCCACCCCTCTTCTCCGTATCCTCGCTCGCAATCTAAAGCGAAGCTATCACAATGCCTCCAATCCAGCCTCTCCTCCCCTTTCTACGGCCCCTAGCACCCCCGAAATCATCCACCTGTCGACAGCTCCTTCGCTTTACAGCAGCATCAAGACTCCGCATTGAGCGTATGCCGCTTCAATCTCCAATTGATACTGGCAACAGCCACTAATAGCATATCAGAGCCAACAACATCAACATCAGGGGCCTCCGCCGCTCCCCCGCCGCCTTCAACACCCTCCGTCTCCCGAGACCTCGCAGCAGCCGAAGCCACCACTGACGCCGACAAAGCCCAGTCCTCGTCTCCAGGACCCATTCTCCCATTCAAACGTCCCTCTCATAGCATTCGGCAATCCACACCCAAACCCAATCCTAAACCGAAAATACCCACGCTCCACCCCCTCAGCGCAAAAGCCCAAAAACTCGCCTCCGCCGCCTCTGCCTCCTCTACCGCCTCCTCTTCCAACCCCACTCTCTCCAACCCCGCACCCCACAGCTGTCCCACCTCTCCAGCAAACCTCCCCCCACCGGCCTACCATGTCGCGCGCTCCATCAAGAAAAATTACCCCATATACACTGACTACAAGCGCGGCGGGAACCTACACTTAACCACTGTGCGGAAGGTGAGTGGAGATTTGAACGCGTTGAAGGATGAGTTGCGGCGGTTTTTGAACAAGAGGGTGGGGGATGTTACCATTAATGCTTTGACGAAGCATGTTATTGTAAAGGTACGTTCTGTAACAGTCATTATGGTGGGAGGTGTAGAGGGATGATCGTGTGCTAATGGGGTAGATAGGGTCATCATAAACCTGAGATTATGCAGTTCTTGAAAGCGCGGGGGATGTGATTGTGGTGAATACAGTGCTACGGCGACGGCAGGCTTGTAGAAACAATGTATTATATCACACGCCAGCATCTAGACTAAGAGGCTAGAGGATTTTAGCATTGCATGTCCATCCGATAACTTAGGTATTTCCCCGTTGTGACAATTCACTTAATATCTAACACATACCCCAAAGACCCTCACGGATCAACAATTTGATATCCTCACGTTCACTCGACAAGCAGTGGTCGGTGGGATGTGGCCAGATGTTTTGAACTAAAGAGAATATCTGTGGAGACATCTACCCATCCTCCTGGATGCCCACGAATGTTCTTTCAAAATAAAGAAATGCCCTCAATGAAGCCCCATCCTTGTAGGTAGTCCGATTCCTCTCGACAATCTTCTGGGGGTTACAGGGAAACTAATGCTGCCCTCATAGCACGCTAACACACTATTGAAAAGACGTAATTCTTCCAAGCGGACCTGGGTTGTGGATACAGAACATAGAGCTCACATGTCTGCTCCGGGCCGTCCGTCGAAATTGTGAAGAAAAGGATGCCGCATGGATTGAGACTATGCGGGGCCCTGGAATCGAAAGAGAACTAGACACCGAAGCGTTAGTTTTCAATGTTGGGGTATCAGTAGCAACCGTACTCACCCTTTCGTTTAAGACCCAACCGCCAATGATCAATCACATCTTCAAGGTTTGCAATACGGATCCTGACCCAAGGGCTGGTAGCACTGGGTACCCCGCTTGCAACCATGCCAGGCATGCCAGATGTGATCGTCGCTACAGATGACAGAACTCCAGCTAGATCCGCATTGTTTCTTCCCCGGAGTATCGCAGTACTGAGCCCCGTTCTCCAAGGTGCTCGTCACAGCGCTGACGTCCTCATACGCAATTCGCTTGCTATAGTCGGGTATCATGCAGCATGCGAATCCACAGCCTCCACCTCTACGACATTTCATCGGTCCCTTTTGGCATAAGTCGACAGAACATTGCCCCATGCACTGCCCACTGGAACAACGGTTTAAGCAGTCTGACACCCAGTCGCTGCATTCACCGCATTTAGTGGAAGTCATGGTTTTGGCGGCTAGGCCAGACAATTCGGGCTCGACAATATCCCGTTTCACCTGTGGTGGAGGGAGGGGATGGCAATATCCGCATTTTCCGCACTGGAGCATGGTTAGCCTTCGATACACAGAAAGCGCCGGGTGAGTGGGCTTGATGATAGCATCGGTGCGCCGTGATGCGACCGTGAATTAGGGGAGGGAATCGTGTGGGTGAGCTAAATAGCATTGGGTTCCTTATGTGTTCTGGAGCAGAAAGTCACTTACCTCTTGGTGAGAAGCTTGGCAGGTCTCGTACTCACACAGACCCCTATACATCTCATTGTTGCGGTACCTCTGTTTCAGCCGTCAGCAGCCCTCTATGCGTGATCTATCATGGAGAATTTCTCACATGGAAGCAGTTGTCGAACATCATCTGGCAAGCCATGTCATGGCATCCACCACCCTCTTGCTTGTCGCTTTGGGATTCGGTGCGTGCTTTGACAACAGGCTCAGGTTGTGGTGGACGACCAGGTCCTGGCATATCGTAGCACTTCTGGCATTGGCCGCACTCCTTCATGTCAGTTCCTCTCCAAATGGTGCTAAGACAAACATTGAAGACTAACTTGCTCCTGCAGGTCTGTGCACATGAAAAAAGTGCAGGCTCCCTCAACATGCTTTGGGAAGATCTCGTTCTTGTGCGTCTAGTATGGCATGAGTGGACGTCACCGAATAGGAGGAGAACCCTCACTTGGACACAATCTTTCCAATACGGGTCGCAAACGCCGTCGCAACGCCGCTTCGAGTCGTCTCCAGGGGCAGCTGCCGTCTCTGGAACAGCGAAAGCCGCTGCGAGGGCTGGGAGAAAGAGGGTGATTGGACGAAGGATCTTCATCTTGACGATTGTTCTCTATCGTAGATGTCGCTTTGGAGGATTGTAAGAGGAGAAAGGTGTCGAAGGGATAACGAGAGGGTGGCGGGTAAGAAGTCTCCTCGACAAGCTTTCAAGGTGATGGTAGACTGAGTGGCAACTTCTAAAAGTGGTGACTGCGTCTATGTCACTTTCCTCTCCCCTCATCAAAGATTCGGCGAGCAGCGGCAATGGTCGGCTCTTCTTCCAGGGCACCTCTCGAGTCTATTAGAGACTTCCCATTCTGCTTCTTGAGATCCGGATCCTTTTCTTCACATGTCGAAAACCCCATTCACCGCACGTCTAGCTCCATCCACTGCCTTCTCAGTAGTCGAATGGCCCCTCTAGCCCCGCACGGCTGTCTTAAGACTCGACCATGGCCCTAAATTCCCAATGATTGTTAATAGGACTTCATAAGATTAAAACTAACCGTGGACCACGTGAGAGCTCCCCGAAAACTTCCTCCGGAAGCCTGACCATGTGACGCCGACCATTTTAGTTATTTAACAACCGTCGTTATGTTACCTCTAGACATCAAATCTTAATCGAGGAAAGGCTCATGGGAGAATTGATGTTGGAAATTGGAGGAAGAAAAGATGTTGAACATTGGTTTCATGTATAGAACGGATGATGTCTTAATAGTTGAAGAATTGAATATTGAATATGGCAATGCTATCTGTTGCGCGTGTATTTTATCCACCTATACATATTCTTCTGCTGTGCCTGGTGGAAGGTTGACCTTTTGCCATTTGCAACACTAGTCACCATCAATCTAGTCTGGAGCCAATTCTCATCATGCATCGCACCTCCTCCAAACAACCACTTTCCACTTTCCCCCACCCCCATACGCTATCTAAGATTCCTGGCTTCACGGAAACTATCCCAACCCGGTTGCCACATTACTTCCTTGCTTATTAGACGAAGACACTAGATCCTAAAAGGGAGGAATTGGAAGTTTCGCTCTGAAGCCCGATCCACCAAGCACTCTGACTTCCCATCTTTGTCCTCTACAGCGTGATAGGTTGAATGAAGAGTCTCCCCCATAGTGTTGGATAGAGATGTATATGCGGCCGTCTAACCGCATTCCCCCTGAGCAGTCCTTGTTGAGCACTTAAGACCTGACGTCCCCGTCTCAGGGGTTTAACAAAACCTGCTGTCAGCCAGATTGTTAATATATGATCCCTTCAATCTTCCAAACACCCGCCACCTAGCTGGCCCCTCTGTCATACCTAGGAATTGAAAATGAGATCAGATAGCGAATGGTGTACGAATTTCAAGACTACCAAAAAATGGTTTTTTTGAGGGTTGTCAGTAGCCCGCATATGGCTGCAGAGTTAGTTTCTCTTTTATCAATGAGCTTCAAATATTCAAACGCATTTATGGTAGAGAAAATAGCTACTAGCGATATCCTCGTAGAAGTCCGGGTGATTTTGGGAAGGTCGACGGCGGCAATCACCACATTCACGTATCCTAGTGATCAAAACCTATTCGGGTACTCCGATCGCTTCCTCAGCGCCGTTTGTTGCGTTCTAGAAAGGAAGTGCAATCGTGCCGCCCATTTTTATTTGACTAGATCAGAATTTCCACAACACAACGCACATGGCGCGGCTTGCGTCTTTTAGTTACATCCCTTGGCTCATTTAGTACGTCTCCGGGAGCAGCCCGCGTAAATACTTAACACTATTACTCCCCACCGCACCGCCTTAAGAGCTGTTATCTCTCCTTAATAGAAATATGCTGAGAGATCGACTCTGATAGCAATGATAGTTAAAAGAGTCGATATTGCTAAGCAGAGAAACCAATGTATGCACTTGATATTGTAGACGGCATCTCCCGGCTATAGTCTTTCATTTGTGCGCTTTCCACTAGACGCTGCCAGCACCAGACTGATAGGCGACTATTCAGCTTTCAGAAGACCCTCACCTGATAAGTAGGAAAAATTTCTATTGCCGAGATCGAAAGGCTGACTTAATGAGAACACAACGAAGGCAGCACTTCCAACAAAGCGTAGTACTGTACGATTCGGCGATTTAGATGCCTTTGCAGGCGAGATTTTGTGTACGTTCCTACAGCAGGGAGGATAAGAGGAGGTGCACGTATTGTAACTGTTACAGCTCACGTGATCTGTACAAGTAGCACAATTTAATTAAAGCACGCGTACTCTAGTTAAAACGACTAAGAGTGTAGGTTTCTAGAGAAGCAGGATTCAGGTCTATATAGCTATTTGATAACTAATTCTCCCTAGTAACATAAGCGGAGAGGTCTAAAAGTTTGCCGCTTACTACCTTTACAGTGCCTTAAGAGCTTTGCTTATGGCACTAACAGCTGAGCTACGGGTAGATTACCTTGCCCTGCTGCAATTAATCTTTGGCCATAGACAGCGCAATATGGTGGGGTGAGGCAGGAGACGCAGAGGAGAGGGCTCTCGACTTCTGCCGCCTACTAGACTGGACAACGGAGGTATCTAATTAACTAGATGAGGCCTGTGAGGCACTAAGGCGCGTGGATAGGTAACCCCGCAATTGAGAATAGTCAGTAATAGGCATTTTTAAGATAATAAACTGCAGATGGATAGATTAAAACATTTAGAAAAACATTTAAGCGTCCTCACAAAACTTTTAGCTAATTAGAATCCTAGAAAAACACTAAACGCTCCCACCAGGCCTACTACTTGCCAGAGCCCTCCTAAGAGGTTAATCCAATTCGTACCACGTACTGTACCTAGGGAATCATTAAACGTACGGTACGGCTCACGAACTGGGTACGTTCGTACTGAACACATGACCGCTGCGGTTCACTTTGTAGGGACCGTAGTACCTGTTGGAAGCCCTGACAGAAGGAATTCCCAACTTTTTAATACGCGTAGATGAAGAATGCAGCGCTTAAACTTTCTTCATTACGGAGACTCGCCGAGCTCCGTACCAGCCCAGAAGAACTTCCATCGAGCCTCCTCACCTCCCTTCCGTTCATACACCATAACTTCTACATCCTTCGTTGGAGCCAGGATCGAAGCTGATATATGCGCTCGCCCTTCTATATCTTCCCATTTCCCGCTAACTGGCCGTACGTCATACCTCAGGACCATGATGATCAATAGAACCATGACCTCCTTCATGAAAATATGTCTTCCTGGGCACAGAGATGACCCTCCACCAAAGGTACGGTGTGATGAAGCGGGGACCCCCGCACCAAACCCAGAGCCCCGAAGGAAGCGGTCTGGATCAAATTCTTTTGCAGACTTCCCCCACACCTCTGAATTCTCATGGAGTTCAGCGGACGGAACGAGAAGCAGGGAATCCTTCTTTAAAAGATAGCCTCCGTCGAGCGCAGTATCATTCAGTATGACTCGTCCGGACACATTAAAGGCTTTTCTTCTGAGAATCTCTCGCACTATCGCTTCCAACTTCAGGTACTGCGTGGAAACTTCCTCGATATCGACATGAACGGGACCGTTAGTAGACGATGAAGAACCTACAGCATCTGAAATCCCTCGCCTAACTTCTTCCAGGAGTTCTGGTCGCGAATACAAGTCATACAAGCACCAGAAAGCGGAGACAGTTGAGTTAATCAGCACTCCTAAGCACACCGAGAGGTCATACTTCGCAATGTCGTCCATAGAAATGTCGTACTTCTTGTTGACTTTGAATCTGGCTTGAACCAATGGAGATGCGTCTTCCTGTCCATTTTCGGCATAATATTTTCGGAAGCCATTGAATAAATCTTCACGGCCATAGAATCCTTTGCGCGCTGTAACACTGGGGAAGAAGTTCAAGCCGAGGTAGGCGAATTGTTCCTTGATTGCCCTACAGGTATTAATGACTGAGAAACCGAGCGGCAGTGAGTGACTTTACCAAAATCCTTTCTCGACAGCAGGATCCTTGAACGGGTTTTTTGGTCCCCAAACAGCATCTGATGTCGATTGGCAAATTAAGTGGCTCAGCCATTCATGTAGCCTCACCCTTCCGGTGTTTGGGATCGCGTCTAAAGAAGATAGGTGAGGCCACATGTTCTTTGCTATGTCCTTGGCCAAGATCTCAAGATCATTTCCAGGCGACATCGTGTCGTGCATCACCTTTCGCGTCTCCGACAAACAGCCCCAGCACCCTTCCTCATACAGGTTGACTCTTAGCGCCTTAAGGCCTTTAGTGCTTGACATTAGAATGCGCTCTGCAAAGATGACGGCATAAGGCGAAAAAGAGATGTCTTTCGGGTTCCGATCGACTTGTGATGCCAGTCGAGGGGATTTGACAACGTAAATTTTAGCCCCTGGCACACGAAGGGTGAAGATAGGCGCCTGAGTGTATTTGCTTTCATCACGGTAAGCTTCATAAGCCATATGAATCCCGCCTCTACTTTATTTACCTTACGATGGAATAGTAGTATGATCCATGTCGTAGCATTCCAAACAAGTGGCCCAGTAAGGGGAAAGGTTGCGCGAGGAGTGGAGGCTCAGAAGGGTGGTGTGGTACATGGAAAAATCTGAAAACTCTTTTTGCAAGTATCGCGCAAAGAATAAGGAGAGCATAGGCGATGAATCGAATCATGATTGCACAACGAGGAGTTGTTTCTGTAGAGGGAATGGTATGCTTCTAATGTGAATATATATAAACATCCTAGGAATTCAACATCTAGTATATGATTGGCCATACCCTTCCTAGAATCACTGGGTGTTGAACTACATCGAATCTGCCCTAGCGTCCCATTGCGTGTCCGCGGGCGTATTTTATGCGACTACTAGCACAGAGGTCATTGAACGGCAAGACATTCCAGGGTCATGCATTTCTCGCTTGGTAGTGTAGTTTAAACTTTCATTCGCGCATATAATAGTAATCCTAGCCCGCTCAGCTTATTCCACATGCCGAAGATTTCATTGCAACCTGGCAAGGACAGGCGAACTACCTAAACGAGTTCGTCGAAGGAACGGACCGCTTTCGGATACGAAACGGCGTCACCTTGGCCGGTTTCATGACCCCGAAACCAAATCGCGGTGAGTCGAACTTTGGGGGCTGCTCGTACGAGAGAATTTCAATATCGTAAGACATGGCCAGGGTAGCGACGGACTTCAGCATAATGCGCTTAGCCAACAGCCTACCAGGACATGCGTGGTGTCCACCTAGAATCGTGTCAATTATGTTAGCACTGCGTCTCGTTGGCTGTTATCACACAAGGGGCTGGCTTACTTCCATACGGTATCCAAGACCCTTGCAGACCCTCAGCCGAGAACTTCGCCTCTGTCTCATTCATTTGTGGCGTTTCTTTCGAGGCGGTCTTGCATGGCCCGCTAGACGAATCGCTTGGGTAGACCAGGAATCGGTAAGGCCAAAATGTGTTCAGGGGGTGCCTACCATTTTGAGTATTCCAGATATTATCATCCGAGTGAGCAAGCCAAGTATTCAGGAATATGATGCTGGTTTGCGGCAAGGTTGTATTTCCAACTTGTACATCATGGTGTGGTGCGTCTCGTGGGATGTGAATTTGGACTCCGAATCGCAGGGTCTCGGCGTAAAGTGATAAGAGGATGGGAATCTTTTCCAGATAGTCCATATTGAGGGAGGTGGCGTGACAAGATTGTTCTTCCAGTGCTTTCCTGACCTCGAGCAAGATCTGCGGGTCACTGAAAGTATGCACTGCCATAGTCAGAGTCGAAGGGACAACATTGGTGACGGAGCTACTAGAAAGTCAATAATCTTTTCTACCATTAAGATACTTTAAATGGCACTCACGCCCATATTAGACCAAAATCGGTGGATGCCACTGAGTCTTCGTCTTGACCCTCTGAATTCATTAACATTTCGTGCCGATCTTTCATAATGGAGCTACCCCATGCTGAATCCGCGTCGCTTGCGGACGCTGTGACTGAATCCGAAACCAGTTTTGCGGCGGAATGCCATCTCTTAATTGATTCGACAATCTTTTTTCTCAGTCTATATGGCTTGGGATTAATGAACCAAGGGACCCGTCTAGCCAGATTCATCACAACTTTGTCGTATTCAAAGAGGTCCTCAACGAAATGCTCGTTAGCCTCAAGGAGAAGCGGTCCAAAGAGAGCTTTCAAAATTGCTTGTCCCAGTAAATTTTCGAAGAATTTCGCGATATCGTCATAGTATACCCATTCTTCGTTCAAATTACAAAGTTGCAGGTATTGGAATAGCGCAGTCTCAAATTGTGTCGTTGTAGGTTCCAAACCAGACTTAAGAAGGCAATCAACGAGATTTTCATGCGTGGAATACCCAATTCTACCCGTTGGCTTAACGTAGCTTCCCATAATTGGCTTTGTGCGTGATCCGGAAGTATCGTTGTGGTAAGCTGCTGCGGCCTTCGGGTGCATGCCGAAACAATACTGTAGAGCATATGCATATGCTTTGGTGACACTCAAGTTCGGATTTTGGAATATCTCTGTGACATATTTTGGTCCATGGACAATGTAGATATCTTCAGTAACTAATCTCACACGGAGGGCACCAGAGTATCTTTGGAAAAGCTTCCTGAGTATAATAAGCATGCGGCTTCTAATAAGAATAGGGAAGCATACGACAGTCTTAAGAAGAAAGAAGGTCCATAGAATGCAAATCCGATTGTGCTTTTGAAAAAAGGGTTCCGATACGGCACAGTTTTGGCTTCATTCGAATAAGACTGGTCACTCTTTGACTTCCAGCAGAAGAAAAGAAACCAGAGACACAATAATGTTAGAAAAGGATACAAAGGCGAGATGTCCTGGTGATTTAAACGGAGTAGTGTGTGATGTAGTTCCATATTGCTCAAACGTGGGTTGAGAACTGCGAGAAGAGAAGAATTCATCGACGGTATCAGGTCTGCTGGAAGCTTCGCTGCCTGTGAGGTGGGAGGCCTTGATATATGTTCCTCTCACTGCTCTGTTCACGTGAAATATTGGCCGGCAGCTGCATTCACCATCGCTAATCTTGGACATTTACCCTCAACACCATAATTCAAGTGTATTGAAAAGACTTCATAATAGCATGGAAGAACGGTGAGATTAATCCCCAAGTTTTCCATACGTTAAGGTCCACTTAATAAATAATCATGACCGAGTTTACATTATGCCCAGACTCAACAAATAACTGAATTCTCCAAATTTACATGACAAGTGACCTTTTTGGATTTCAGCTATGCTCAGCGTGCGAGATGATATATTCAACAGTTATCTCTACTTGATTCATGGACTTTGAGGGACGTTTCTAACCCCACTGTGCTACTGAATGCCCATGTAACCCCTCTGTTCAGTTGAAGGATTCCCAACCGCAGTTGCAGAGGAAACGCTAACCGAATTATGAACATAAATGTCATTCAAAGGAAGGATGTGTCTTTGGCTACGTCCAGAATCCAAAGACCGGTCAGACTTATTATGTGACCGGGATGTCTGGTCACTGGTTTTCTTTGATGATAAAATCTTTGAGAAGCTACGATTATAGGGTCTGTTTGAAGTAGAAGCCGATTGAGTCTGGTCCTGGGAGGCTACGAAAAGTTGACGGAATGATGCCACGCAAGAAATCATGATCGCTAGAGGGACGCATCAGTGCATGTACGATTATTACAGCGGGAGAAAACTTACCCGTTCCATTTTCAACAAAACTCCAAAAGACGAGCCAAGCAATCTCTGCGCTTTGATGCTTAGAGTTGACCACTGTCACTCGAATGATTGAAACGACCATGACAATGACCGTGGCGGAGAAAATACCCGTCAGGATAATCTTTTTGCGTAGTGGAACATGGACATTCCACAAAATGAGGATCGGAATCGAAACGACTTTTTAAGGTTAGGACAAATCGGGTTGTAAAATTAGAGGAGGGCTGGGGCATACTCAAGCAATCAGATAGGATATCTAGAGCGCAATTTGCATAAAATGTCCGATTTTGGAAGTTAATTTTATTCTGACTTGAGCAGTTTACTGTTACATGTAAGCTAAGTCACTGCAAACCCATGGCCCAAACTCACGCATAATCCATTGTATTGGCTTTGTGTTGCAAGGCCAGTCCACGTCCGCCATACAAATCAACCAAGTTGAAACGGTGACAGCAGTCACACACCACCACCATATTTCGTACCTGCGAATTTGGTTTCCCAATCTGCGGAAGAATAGTAAGACCGAGAGTTTGACGCTCCAGAGGCTTGCGTAGAAAATGCTGGTGAAAGCTCCGATGCACCTAATGAAAGAGCCGTATCTTTCAATTTCGACCTGGTCAAATGGATGCTTTCCTTGAAGTACTTCGTAATTTCTGTATAAAATCGGCGACTTTACGGTCCAGAGGATAATGTTGGCTAAAAACATTCCCCATGCTATAAACGCAATGACATCGTCCGAAGAGACTCGTTTGAACGTCATCATTTTAATGAAACATCGGACAAGGACAAAGATCAGACTGAGTCCTGCCAACGCCCACACACATCCCTAAACAAATAGGATTAATGACTTTCAGTATATGGAGGTGCAGCGAAGACAAATACTTACCAGAAATACCGGTTGGGAGACTTCTGCATGTAAACGCGGCGCCGTTAGACCTGGGAGAGACATATTCAGCGACAGAAAGGTGTACGTCAGGAAAGGTTTGATGATGGATAGATAAAAGTATCACATAAACGCTATCGACTGGAGAATCCGCACTTTTCTATTACTAGGCTTTGGGAAGAGCAATAGCGCGGGTTGCCCTATGAAAGAGACAAAGCTGAGACGCTGCAATTTTGTGGCGGGGATCGTGCTGTCAGATTGATATTGCGCTGACCACCACTAAGCATGCATGTAAGCATCCGCGCATCTCTTGGGCTTTACGCCACATCCGCGTACCGGAGTCCGATAGAACCGCTGAAGGAGTCCCCCAGACTTTACTTCTGGGAAGCCACCGCCATCCAGGTAAATCGCTAACCGAGGTCTAGGCTTTTCTGACATACCGTCAGGGCTAGGTGGAAAGGTGTGTGGGGACAGTTATGGACATGGTCCGGAATCCCGTTTAGAGGACTTCTCAATGGATCTGGGGGGCATACCCACAGATATCCGGGCCACTTTAAAAGCCTAATGCTCGATAAAAATTGGATAAGTAGACTATTAGAGCCTAGTTCATGGTGACTGCTCAAAGGACCAAGATCCTAACCAAGAGTTGCACCGTATCACCTCAACACAGTACCCATTGATTATACTCATTATAGGGGCAGCAAAATCCAACAGGATTCTACATGTACTGTGTCTCTACGCCCAACTCTATGTGGGGAGGTATCTCCGCCATACTTCCGCATCGATGAATCTATGAGATTATATTTGCCGTTCCGATCCGTGAGGGAAACCCAATAAGCTGACTCTTGGTATTAGGAGGATTTTTGAATGGGTAGCCTCCCATCCCTGCTGAATAAAAGAGAATATGTCGGTTGTGAGCCAACCAGGATTCAGTATTAATAGATGTGGAGCATACCACAAGGGCTTTCGAAGTCCGAGGGTAACGCTCGCGGGTGGGGCGTGCGCCGGCTCACGGACATGTCGATATGCATGTCTTTCAAGTGAGGTGATGTGATGAAGAAAGCACAGGTGCTGCTGTTTGAATTTGTGGCATGTGCCGCACTGAAATCAGCAGGGGCATTTTCACAGGAATTAAGCGAGGGCTGTTCCTTCCATCGAGGCTGTGATCGGGCTGCAATGGGGGAAGAATATAGCAACTTAGCAAGCACAATTTTACCATATATGATGCTTGTAACGTACAACGACCGTTATATATATTAGGGCCTATAGCCGTACATTCCATATTACCCACAAGACGGCTGAATTTACTTCCAAAATATTTCTAGAATCATTTCCTTCCAGTACCTCTAACTAACAACAATGCACTTTTCAACCATGTACAGGCTTCAGCTTTCCAAACCTCCCGAGTACCGCTCAAGCACACTCTCGATCTTTGGAACGCCTCCAATAACGACATGGTACTATTGCTGCTCCTTTTTCTGTCGCATGATTACGCTTATGCTTCATGTCGATTGGGCCCAAAAATGGCTCTGGTATGACTGTAAGTATGGAGCCATAGTTCGCAAGATAATATCATCGCTGAATATTCTATCCAGCTGTGTATACCGCGTTGCTAGTAAGCGATATAATATACTGTGGGCTGCTTAAAGCGCTAATTGAATGCTTTAAAGTGTGTATCGTGTTTTTGTCACTACACACGGCCGCAGGTGATAATTTTGTAGTTTAGTGTCGCTATAGATATTTACGGGTTTGGAATTGGTTGAGAGGTCTTGGTGGATGCTTCATACTAGGAATTGCAATGATGGAATTAGAATGCTTTATTAATTCAATCTTGTTGTGGTGCAGTATCATAAATCGCCACAGGTTTCTAACCGTCACCATGGTTGTTACGGATTCCGTCGCTAAGTCATGCTGAGTTTCCCTCTTCTTGCCTGGAATTACCTATGCCATCTTAGGCGCTTCACTCAGAGCCTCGGACAGAGGTCCTATCTCACCCGGTGCCTGTTTGTTGTTTTTACTTTCGGCTTCCGACACCTGACTTTTGGTAGTCTTTTTCACACTCAGCCACTCCATACCTAGAGTAAATGGTACAGAAGCTGCTACTAGTGCAACAGAGAGGATCATAGTGCGGTCGATAGCGGTGTTCCATATTGACTTCAATGTTCGCAGTGCATCCGGGGACGAGACGAGATCCGACAGCCCTGACGCGCCGGCCTTGAGTACAGCGTCGACAGGAAGACCGGGTATTCGACTAGGCAATTGTTCAATAATGGTAGATATCGTTATGGTTTGACCAAATGAGATCGCAGTAGCCCTGAAACAAACACGTGTTAGATATAATCCACAGATGGAGGGATTTGAGCATCTCACGACTTACCCTCCCAATTGGTAGAAAAGCACAGCAAGTCCTGAAGAAGTCAGATAATAACAACTTAGTGAATCAAAATAATCTTACCATTTCCTGTCGGTATATCCTCATCCCTAGATGAGACGAACTTTCAGCATGAATTCAAATCGTCGGAGCTGGGAATTCATACGGGAGGGTAACTTGAACAGCTGTGTAAGGGAGCTGCATCGCCATCCCCATTCCCAAACCAGCTACCACAAGGAAAGACGCCCATTTCACTGTGGTAGTAGTCTCGCTCAATTGAGTGAGCAGTGCCATTCCTGCGATGCAAACCAGCTCCCCAAGAACCATGTATGGAACATAATACCCTGTCGCTCGTACCAAAACCCCTACAATAACCAAAGCAACAATTTGTGGTAAGAGGTAAGGGATGAAATTTACACCGCTGTCAACTGGTTTGATATTGCGAACCGATTGGAACCAAAACGGCATAAAGAATGAGATCTGTTTTTCTGGAGAGTTAGCATTGTTTCACAGTAGAGACTATTCCGGGCTTTACTTACTAGATAGTTCGATGATCCAAGGAAGAACAACACTATTACTCCTGTCCAGATCGATCGGCGTCGAATTACGTGGATAGGAATCAACGCATTATCTTGCAATATCAACTGAATGCAAACGAATAGAATAGCCAACCCAGCAAACCCAGCAAGAAGTCCGATAATCATAGCAGACTTCCAGGGCTTCGTTTGGCCCCCCCATTGCAGCGCAAGAAGAAGACAGCATACTGCGCTGATGAAGGTCAGGCAGCCAAAGGGATCCATGCTAGCCAACTTCTTCTTGAGGGACATTTGTTGGTATTGGTTGTCTTCTCTTTTGAGTTTCAGGAAAACCGTAAGCGCCACGAGAACCGCCGCGCCGATTGGAAGATTGCTAATACCAGAGTAGTCAGCCTCTTGACATAGTTGTGTTTCCAAGGACTCTTTGTACGAAATACGACTCACATCCAGAAACACCATCTCCATGAACTGTGCTGAGTAAAAGCACCTCCAAGAGGTGGTCCCACACAGACAGTCACGGCAAACACGCTAATTACTATTCCCATATACATTGGTCGCTGCTCTAGAGGTACGATTTGGCTGATGATACTGAGTGCACCTTGGAGGATGCCGGCTGCGCCTAAGCCAGCGATGGCTCTCCCAAAAATGAACACTGCGGAGGATGTAGCTGTGGCGCAGAGGACAGAACCGACTTCGAAAATGACGATTGACACTTTGTACACCACCGAGGTGCTGAAGAATTTGTAGAGAGACCCAAATATTGGTTGGAAGGCTGTGATGGTTAAGAGATATGCTGTTCCATACCAAGCGATATCCCCCAAGGAATGAAAGTCGGAAGAGATTCTCGGGATAGCTACGTTGATAATGTTTGTATCCAATGCTATGAGAAATGAGCCAAAAAATAAAGATGTGATAATGATACCAAGCTCCCAGGAGGTAGGATAGCTGGCGTGGGGCTGGTCTGATGGTTCCATGACGCCTGGTAGGAAAAGAGACGTGATGAGAGTGAAGCTAAAAGACGCAAGGGACTCAGAGGAGCGCGCGACTTTCCCAGATTACCGCCTTGTACTTCCATCATCTCGAAAGTTACATTACGTACCATGAGGTAAGCCGTGTTCAAGGCCTGCAGTCCCGTCCTCACTAAAGCCGGTAAAATCAGACGAACGGACTAACAACCCAGTGGGGATTTTGCAGGCTGCAGCAATGCGGCAAAGCCCCCCCTCAGCCCTCCCTCAGCCCTCCCTCAGTCCTGTAAGATCCAGTCGTCTCGAGAACGCCAGACTCAATTTGCAGAACTGTAGGATTGCGGCAGAGTAAGTGAACTAGGTTAGGACCATGCGGGGCGCAAAATTGTCGCTAAGGCTTGCTGAAATTTGGAAGGCTCGGCCCGGAACTGGGGGCCAAGATGGCGCTGGGGCAGAATTCTCGTGCAGTCAATACCCCGGTAGGTACGCTTCCGCCTTTCCTCTCCTGTCAAAGACCTCTCAGCGGTTTGTGCGAGCTTCGCGCGCAAAGCTTCCGAGGCGGGGGGCTTTTTGGGATCGAAATTCAATGGCAATCCTATTTTAAGTGTGCAGGTATCTGTGATGGTAGTAGGTGTAAAACTCAAAAGAGATCCTTCAAACCTTTACATTTCTACTATTGCATAAAAGTAAACTCTTCTTTCAATAATCAAAGATGGCTTTTCCAACTGGAAGTATGACGGCCCTTGTGAGGCAAATCGAAAAGAATACAGGAGCATTCATCGAGCACTTCACAGCCAAGGGCCTCCCAGAACCTTCTTTTGACAATGGAGACAATTTGGCCCTAGGGGAGGAGCTGCCCGCCGACATAGCTGCTGCTAGAGAGGCTGCAATAGAAGCCGCTCACGAATTGCACGACCTCTTACTTGGACCACTGGGCTTGATTGTGGAATGTTCTGGTCAAGTACGCTCACCCCTGCGAACACTTCTTTGTACGTACCAAACTTACCCACCCAGCAATACTTGCTCTTGTGCATACAGTATCTTTATCGTCACCGAATTGCGTATGCAGTCCCAGTAGACGGTGAAAAGACATTTGCCGAGATAGCAGAAGCATGTTCATTGAATGAGAAGGATTTGACTCGCTTCCTACGTGTCGCCATAAGCCAGCATGTATTCAAAGAGGTCAGAAAAGGGTCTGTCGCTCACACGGCTGCTTCGAAGATGCTGTTGAATAATCCTATGCTGGAAGCGTGGACCTTAAACATCGCTCAGGAATTTTGGCCTGCGTTGAGCCGGGTATGTTGCTCGTATTCTTCCACTTTCAGCACTTCTAACATTTCAGTGAAGGCGGTGGATGCCGCGGAAAAATGGCCTGGCTCCGAAGAGCCAAACGAGACTGTACGTTCAGCATTGACCGTCGAGTTCACATCATGAATTTAACAGAATTTGCATAGGGCTATTCGTTAGCACACAATACAGACGAAAATCCTTTTGATGTCATTAAGAAAGACCACAAGAGACACCAGCAGTTCGTTGACGCCATGAGTTTCTCCCACCTTCACCCTTCCTACAGCGTGAAATACCTCGTTGACAACTTTGATTTCGAATCCATTGGAAGAGGCACTATTGTTGATATTGGAGGATCTTATGGCCAAGTGAGCATTGCAATCGCAGAGAAATACCCTGACGTTACCTGTATCGTGCAAGACCTCGAAGGCACGATTTCTGGACTATCTGTCCCCGAGCCGATCAGTCGTCGCGTCCTTGGAATGCCGCATGACTTTTTTACCCCACAGCCAGTCCGTGGTGCCGATGTGTACTTGCTGCGTTGGATTCTGCATGATTGGTCAGATAAGTACTGCATCAAGATTCTGCAATGCCTGATACCTGGATTAAAGAAAGGGGCCAAGGTCGTCATCAACGACATTTGCATTCCAGAGCCAGGGCAGCTATCTATTAGGGCTGAGCGATTCTTGCGGTACGTCGCTAAGATCGCTACATATATGCTAATTCTAATACTGAAGCAGACTAATGGACATTTCTATGAAAGCATTTAACAATGCACGAGAACGAGACGCAGAGACTTGGGAGTGGCTATTCAGTATGGCGGACAAGAGGTTCCAATTCAAAGGAATAACTCTGCCCCCGGACGCGCGCATGGCGATCATCATGGCAGAATGGACCGGATGAGCTGGGGTTCAAACACTATGTGGCCTGAGGTGCGGTAGGGGTTGATTGGTTAGATTTAGCCTCTAATTCGATAGCCAATAAGCGTGAAGGTTGATACACCTCCCAGTAAGCGCTCGCCTCGAGCGCTTGTAACCTGCATGTCTCTTCACCGGTCACGCTTGGCATTTTGAGACACCCGGTTGCCAGGCATGACATTCAGGAACGCCAAGTCATGAACCTAAATGCTGGGTATCAAGGCCCCAAGGTACCCACGAGCCATGCGGCGTTCGGCTGGGCCGCTTTCCTATCCCCCATCAACCTCCAGTCATCCCACTCTTCACCTCCCCCGCTACATGGTCAAACAGCAGGACCCTCACAACTATGTTTGAATACCTGATTGCTTTAGTAGGGCTGTACTTTGGATGGAGCCTCGTCTGTCTGGAAATCAACCACAGGCGCGCTTCGTCCATGGGCATTCCGCTTGTGCGAGTCCCTGTTGATCCACTGAACATCCTCTTCCAAGTATTCGAGCCACACCTCTGGAAAATTCTGGACCTCTTTCCCTCCGTTATGATGCCAAACTTTGCCCGGTACATGCGACGAGGCTGGTTCTTTCTCGACAAGGCTGACTCCCACCTCCGCTATGGCCCGATATTTGCCTGTGTGACGCCTCGTGGCATCCACGTCCAAGTGTGCGACTCGGAGGCGATTCATGACATGTTTTCTCGGCGGTTTGATTTCGTGCGTCCGAGTGAGAATTACAGTAAGGCCCGCCACGTTCTATTTGACGTGTAAAAATTGATGAGTAGCAGAACTCCTCGAAGTGTACGGCCCTTGTATCTCCACGGCAAGCCCGACAGAATGGCCGCGGCACAGAAAGATACTCGCCGCGCCATTCAACGAGAGCGTGATGAAATTTGTATGGAGCGAGTCTCTTGAACAGACGAAACAGATGAATGCCTTATGGGTCAGTTCAAAGAATTCGACCAACGGGATCCAAAGCGTTGCCAAAGATACGCGCACCCTTTCCTTGAATGTTCTTGCTGCTACTGGATTCCGCCGTTCCTTCAGCTTCCGGTCCTCGAGTGACGGAGAAACAGATACTGACGCGGCGTCTTCCTACCGCGAGGCATTATCGACGGTGTTAGATAACGCCATCCTCCTCATGTTAATCCCACCTCGCTATCTATTGCTCCCAATCTTCCCAAAATCACTACAACGCATTGGCAGGGCCGCAGCTGAATTTAAGAACCACATGGAGAGGATGTTAGAGGAGGAAACTACGGCTTTAAAGCAGGGTAAAAAGGGTGCAGGAAGTCTCATGACATCCTTTGTCAAGGCTATGAACACTTACGAGGCCCAGCATGAAGGCCCCAAACTATCCCAGGGCCTATCTGCTGAAGAAATATTCGGAAACATCTTCGTCATCAACTTCGCCGGTCATGACACTACCGCCAACACTCTTGCCTTCAGTATGGTCCTGCTTGCTACGGAACCTGAAGTGCAGGAGTGGGTAGCTGAAGAAGTACGCAAGGTAATTATGGAAAATGACGATTGGGAATACGGCCGTCTCTTTCCACAACTTGTCCGATGCCGCGCCATCCTAGTAAGTAAACCATCTCCCATTACTCCTTCTTACTGAGCCTTCAACCTAGTTCGAGACACTCCGGCTCTTCCCACCCATCCTCTCGCTTCCAAAACGCACTAGCTCCAAGCCCCAACGCCTTCAGATAGGAGATCGCTCAATCCTCATCCCAGCAAACACCAGTACTAGCCCTAGCCTTATCGCAGTCCATACCCACCCTCAGTACTGGCCTGACCCCCTGAAATGGAATCCTTCACGATGGATTATTACAGATAGTAACGCAGCTTCCTCCGGAAGTCACCACGAATCCCTGATCACGCCGCTAAGAGACACTTATTTCCCCTGGTCCGACGGGCCTCAAAACTGCCCCGGTCTCAAGTTCTCGCAGGTCGAATTCGTTGCTGTGTTAGCGTCCCTTATGTGTCATCACTTGCTGACGATCGTGAGAGAAGATGGGGAAACTAAAAAACAAGCTCGCGAGCGGGCCGTGAAAGTGATCAATGACTGCGACATGCAGCTCTTGTTGCGGATGCGGGATGCTGATAGGGTTAGGCTGAGGTGTGAACGGAGATCCTAGCCATTCTCGCCTGTGCATCTTATGTTAGGTACTTTCGTGTGTAAATAAATCTTCGCAGTTCATCCACGGCGGAAATAACACTCAGTAAATACTTGCTTAAAAACGGCCTATGACCAGGTCTAACAGCGGGAGCAGGATAAGAATAGGCCATTCTTAGGGATAATCTACCGCTATTTTATCCTACCGCTGGATGATTGTATCGAGTTAATAGGCCGACCATTGTGGCGGGATGTAAGATCTAGATACCATGAGGTGCCTTTCGGGGAGTGGGTGCGCAGTAAATACAGGTCCAGGACGAATTTGGAATATGACATAAGTATACCACCGTACTAAACCATTCGATTTCGAGGTGCGGGCTCGGAAGAACTAGGAGGTCGACTCTGGCTTCCCAGGCAGCGCAAACCCCTGCAGTAGGGACTCCTCCTGAGGCCTCATCTCACCACAGAGAACTCTTCGACTGAACTCACCCTCGAGAAGCTAGCTAGCTCGTGCAGCATAAGGCGTTCCGGGCATATTTTCTCATTCGGTTCTCAAGACGCCCAATACTCATTCGCGGCAGCATTAGGATATAGATACTCCACCTTAATTTGTAGCACATCGAGACGATTCGCAGTCTTAGTTGGCACGCTGGATCTACAACCAAGGTTTCAAGGTTCTCAACGTCCCTCATCCATGTTCGCCATGCCTCTAGCTTGCTGATTGTCTAGAGTTGTGCCGCAATATATACTTCTATTCTTTGCGGAATTTTAATATGATCAGCTCTTAGACCAGTTTCGTTTAACCCAGTAGATCGGCTACAATACGGCCCTATTTGTTCCGTGGCCACTCGTTAAGAATAATGCTCTTCTGCATCGTATCTGAGCCTATCATTCATTTTCCCTCACTTCCCTTGCCTCTTCGAAGCAACCATGTCAAAACCTGTCTTCATCTGCCTTCATGGGGCCTGGTACAACCCTAAGTGCTGGGGTCGATTGACTGCTGCTGTCTAAGCGTGGCTACTGCACTGTATGCTCAGAGCTCACAACTTCTGTATCAATTCCTCTGACACTATCCTAGTCTGCCGACGTGGATAAAATCCGCAACACGGTCACTGATCTCGTCCGAGATCATAATGTTATTCTAGCAATGCATTCCTTTAGCGGCATAACTAGAGGAACTGCTTTACTGGCCTTGGCAAGGAATCCTGTAGGGCTAAGGGCTTAAAGGGTGGTGTTGTAAGGTTGATCTATATTGCTGACTTCCTTCTTCCGGAGGGCTTTCAACACTCCCCACAGGGGACGAGGCATCGTAGTGACTTGTGGGCCGGCCCTTAAGGCTGGTGACACCATATATTGTAACCACAGTACGTTTGGGATAAGCGTTCTTGAAGTAGCAGTTGCCCATTAATAGTGTTCGGCATGGACAGTTGGATCACCCGCAGGTGCTCGATGAGGGATAGGCTAGTCGTTTTGACAGTTGACGCGGAAGCTTATATAGAGTTCTCTATTAATCTGCCCTTGCGTGGGTCGGAGGGGGGTTAATCAATTCACTTCTTGGCATTATGAGTTAGTCACATATCGATCAAGCGTCGCTTAAAATGGGCCAAAATCTATCAATTCACTATGAAACTATATTCCATCCCATGATCCTTGATTGTACATCAAACTAAGCCTTGTTTTTGTTCTCTGTGCCCTCTGTAGGGCTGTTTAGATCCCTCTCGTCAATCTCCTCAGTATGCTGCCCTATTGTAACAAGACCTGCCCTATCCCATGAGCTTAAGCACTCATGAGCCTCAATAATATCCTCTTGGAGTTTGTTACGGCGATTGGTGATGAGGACGCCTACTAGCAAGAATATCCTCTCAGATTCAGGGCTTATCAGGGGATAGCTAGTACGTCCATTGCCATCTGTGAGAGAGCTGACCACTCTTACCTCTGCCATCTGCTAAGAAGCTCTGCGTCGATTAATTTGGCTAGGTCAATTAATGGCGACGATAGGGTTGTTGGCTCAGGTTTGACTGCCCACGATGGCGGCATGGAGGTGGCCGACGGGCCGTTGCGTCTGATGCGACGACGGGGTAAGCACCGCGTTGATAGAGAGCGTTTATATTAGGTGCGACAAGGCTTTTGGACTTATTTTGGTGTTACATGGCATATAAAAGGGATGGGCGGTCGACTAGGCTTGGTACCTTAATTCACTCTCTTAGCGCCCGAAACTACCCCCTTAGGTCTAGCCTCTACTCAATTAGGCTAGTATTGAAGCCCCAGCTAGCACCTACAGGTATTCCGCCTGTCCATTCCGAACACTGCCCATTAACTAGAGCCAGGTTGGTACGCGTTTAAGTATGGGTCTGTGGCATCTTTAGATGTGTATTTGTAATACAAGCAGAGACTTCTGCACCATCCCCTATGGTAGTTAGGGTTAGTAAGTTGTTTATATTTGCATATTTTCAAAGAAAGTTGGAGTTATATGGCCTCTTGTTCAATGGAGTGTTGCTTTATTCATCTAGCTGCTGCCCGATAACGACCAGTCAACGCACATTGTAGACGAGCTTTTAGCGGTTTCGAAAAAAAAATCCGCTATCAATTCCCTACAGTGATTGCCCGTCCCATTGTTCAACGAGTCTAATGTATTGTAGCTCACCTCTTCTGATGCCATCAGTGCTGTTTCTAGCTGGAATAGTAGCAATTCCAATAGGAACGGCCGATTGTCAATAGCGATATTCTCCGGTCTATTCAGTTTGAAGGCTGCAGGTAAACGGATAGGCGGACTCAGGGGAACAGCCAGCCCCATGTTCTAAGTCAAAGAGTCAGCAGAATATCAAGAGTTACTCATTATTAGTTTGTAGCCAGGCCAATCCACTATCTATCGCAAGGTTAGAGCTGATCGGTGGTGGAGGGCATGGAGCAGTCAATTAGGTATTGAGAGATGACCTAGGTATATTGAGGTTAGGTGTAAGGTCTCTGGAGCTCGAGAGAGCTCAGAGGTAAATATATAGTAGCTAAAAGAGCTCTAGTCCTAAACAGGAAAAGGGTGAGAGTTGAAGGACACACATTCACCATGCGCTAGTTCACGTGAACCAGTTTCGTGTGCAACACTGTCTACTGGTGCCTATACCTCTCTATCTATCATGGCTGCCCTAGAGGCTCCTCACCAATACAGCACTCTTCCGCCGCACCACCACCTAGCCTTACATAGTTTAGTTTAGTCTGGTAGACCTAATGGTTCCTATCATTTCAAACAGTAGCATGAGCTGTCCATCACGCTCTTTCTTTCTTAAGGTCTCAGAATCTCCTGGTTATAGGGTTAGTAGGGAATCTATCATCGACGCAATGCAAGAATAAGTTACAGAGTAGATTATGTATTGAACAAAGGTTAACTACGCCCTTTCTAACGAAGATAGGCTTCGTAACTGTATAATAATAGGTTTTAGCTAGCTCTGCAGCTCTGCGACGCAGAGCAACAGGGTTGCTTAAATTATGTAATCCTCTCCTACTTTACGTGTCTCGGTTATGTTCAGCCTTTAGTCCCATGTTGTTGTTCTCTACATCCGAGACTAAGGTATCCTATTCCGGTAAAGTCTATTCTTAGTTTAGGTTTGTAACACTAACTAGACTACAACAACAAGTGCACGTTAATAGACACCACTAACATGTAATAATGACTATGTTTAAGGACATAACTAGAATTAATGTAGACGTATCTAGAGCGGCCTTTATATATATGTCTTAATTAATATATCTTGTTATTGTGGAGTAATCGTACGTTAGACCGCTCTGATTTCGGTGGGGCTGGCGAACGAGTAGTGGGATTCTGATGAAGTGAGGATCTATGCCAAGACATTTCACCGATTACCTGGCCTGACCGATGGAGCAACCCTTCATGAGTTCTACATTACCACTCCCCACGATATTCGCATGTGAACGATATGAAATATTGACGTCAATCTAAAAACTTCGGCAGCCCTCGACACCTCTATGGTTGCATACCCGTCCGGGAATTCTAATCAGGAAACCTAACCGGATTTCTGTGATCGGTCTGAGCCGCCTATCCGCAAACTCCAGAATCGGAACAGTATACCGAGATCCAATAGATCCACCATTTAGGCCTACCATTAGGGCAAGGCTAATATCGCCCTTTTCGGTTTGTGAAACTGGACAGATCGAAACAAAGCTTACGTTGAAGGCTTATCAGGCACAGCAAGAGGAAGAGCCAGGTGGCGTCAAGACGAAACACGGCATCATAATCCCGCCTAGTACGCAAATTCGCCGCTAGTTCATCGCAGAGACACTAAAGGGACATCACATCCCATTCAAAAGCCAATCGATCGCGCGTTGTGGAGCCAGCTCAGACTAGATCCTCCCCTTAGTCTTCCCTACCAGTAGCACTCTGAACCACGGCATAGGCCCAACCCCATATAATGGATAACCCTCCTCCAAATCTCGCAGTTCCTCCAGTAACCCCGAAAGAATTTCTCACTGCTTTACGCGAACCAGGACCGGACCGTCTCCAAGTCGCGGCCTCGCTCCTCGACCGCGGCGCAGACATAAACGGCCTCTATGAATTTCACGTCAGAGGCGGCAAGGGCGGTCCCATCGTCCCACGTGAGCAAGTCACCGCGCTCTTCGACGCTGCAAAACGCGGCGACTACGAAGCCGTTCAGTTCCTCCTTGGCAGAGGTGCAGATATCAGAGCAAGGAATCTGACAGTTATGGGTATGCATATTGAGCTGTTACCATTCCGTCGAGCAATTGAGACGTTATGTGGATTGGATGGGATGAGGACGAGTAAGGAGAGGAGGATTGTGGAGCTAGCAGAGGAGAGATTTGGGGTTGAGACGGATGAAGACTATGTGAGAAGGCGGGATGCGTTTGATGGGCTGAGAGGGTATTATATGAGGAATACTAAGACTGGCGTGTTGAAGCCAAATATCAAAAGGGTGAAGAGTGTCTTGAAGAAAAATAATGCAAAGAGGATTCGAGCTAACAAAGGGAACCGCCATGAGCAGAAACGGTACGGGCTAAGATCAAGGAACCCAAACGTTTCCTATGCGTAGTGTTGGGTAATATGATTTGCACCCTCCAAAATTGTGGCTCGTGACTTTACCTCACGTGACCCTTCGTCACAGGTGAATGTGGATTCTTGACTCTCACTGGTTTCTTATTTAGACTAGCACTGTTTTATCCACTATATAGTCACCTCGGAGCTCTCCCAAGCTCCTCAGACCAGACCAGATCAGGCCTTGCACCTTCGCTTGATCTACCTAGTTTGGTTTTCACCATTTAATTGACTAACTCGCGCGACTCCATACCCTCTATTATCCGCCAGCTATCTAAGTAACCCCACTATAGAAAGGTCTTCTGTTTGAAGTTACTTACGGAGCTCTCCAGAGCGCAACCGAGTTTTACCACCTGTTCGTACTTAATATCCACTTCCTGCATAGCTCACCCCTTTGGATATATATATACCCTGAGGTACGCTTCTTTAGCAATCAAACTCAGTTACCCATAGCCTTGGTGCTCCCAAAAGCTTCGCATTTACCCTCACTAAATGGTGCATCTTCAAAATCTAGATCGATACTCTCTCTGAACATATGAGCTAGGGTTTGCTTATCACTTCTGAGGCTGACACTTAGATATGTCAAGAGGATTTCAAGCAAGAGCGTTAATAAATTTATAAAAAGCTAATAGAGCTCTCTGGCTTCAACACTCAGCCACTCCAGCTAGCATACGATCCAAATAGAAGACTGGGGTAGTAGCTATCTATATCCGCTGGCCTCCCATTGGAAAATAAGGTGCAGATTCCATGGTCACCACATGAGAGCTTAGTCTCTTCCAAGCATTGCGGTTAGTTTCCCTCGGCTTGCGCCGTACTGAACGTATTCTGCAGTATCCCGTACACTTGATATAGAGACTTCCGTATAAGCAAGCTTACTGCCGTGAGAAACGGAGTCGGAGGGACAATTTGAGCAAGTGTCGGGGAGAGGAATATGAGAAGAGAAAGTTTGAGGCGAAGTATTTAATGCTAGTGACTACTATCTAGAAAGAGCCATTCTAGAAGATGTAGCCAGGCAAGCCACTATCTTAAAAGAGTTGCAATTCCGAAGTGCTAAAGACATGGGAATGATTGCAGTACAAATTCTCAAGAACAATTACAATTCCCTTGTTAGACAGTCTCAATACGCAGGCTACTTAAAATCGAAGAAAAACGGTCCGCCGGGACCGGGCTGATACGTGCCATCTGTTTTCTGAGGACCCCGTGGCCCTCCATCCTCGAGTAGAAGCATTCCCATTCTTGTGGTTTCACCGTTTCCTATTGGAAAATTTGGATCGTACTCGAAGAGAGTACGCCCACTCGGAGTTTGAAGGGCCCGTATGGCGTTTTCGTCCTCTCTTGCTGGAATATAAAGATAATCCGGGTACCAATCGACAGTACTCTGATGACTATTTTGCATTACTCCATCAATGGTATTTTTCATCAAATTCAAGCCGTCTGGGTGCTGAGGGCCTTGACCCACAACATACCGCTCCACTGGCGGGTTGCCAACATCCACACGGTTATAAGTCTGCGGGTGCATCGCGATTGCTTCTCCGTTTCCAAGGTGTGCACCATGATTGTTTAAGCCTTCTTGGAACGTAGTTTCCCATAAGCGCTCGTTTGGTGGAATTCTTCTCGGGAAGGGTGCGTTTGGTGGAGGGAATCCCTCACGAATAAAATCCCGTATCCAGCTATTGGGCTGTGCTAAACTCAAAATTTTGCCGCTTCTGTCCTCGTCATTGGAGAATCCTGGTACCCTATCTTATTAGTCTATTGTAACTAGCTTAGGGCCTCCTGACTTACTCCCAAATATGCGCCATGTAGACGCCAGCTCTTTGATCTTGAGGCGTGGGTGTCTTCACGATGGCAAACATACTACACCCTACTAGACCTATTGTTCCCCACGCAAATGCAGTGTTGCCTGGTTGTGAAAAGAATGAAGTAGGTATCCCATATGGTTTTGCACGATTTCTAGACCTATAAGGCCTCAAGTCAATCATCTGTCCTTGATCGCGTGAGTCCCAGAGCATTTCAACATCAGTCCCCGCCTGCCTAGGGTCTGGCATTCTGTTCATCATCCACTGACCCAACTGGGCTGTAGTCATGCGGCGGAGATCATTAGGGCCATCGAAAGGAGGAAGTGGCTGAGCCCGCCTTTCGAAAGGATTCGAAAAATCGGAAGAGTTGTCGCGTATCTGAAGGCAAGAGGGCGAACCGCGCGCACAAGGATTGCCAAATGGGATTGTTGATCTTTTGGTCCTGGCACCTCCAGTGTCACGTTCTTCCCCAGCGTTGATACAACGCGGAACGCAGCCACCGAGATTGAGAGGAATATCTTCTTCTCCATCGAATTCTGGGTCATTTGCACGACGAAAAAGTGAAGTGTATGACCTGCTCTACCGTTAGCTTGCATGCGAAAATCGCAGTCTCGAATGTCCATACCACGGACTATCAAATCTAGAGCCTAAGCGCAGTACTCCAGCAGAGTTTAAGAACCCGTAGGTGGTAGGAGAAATACATAATACAGCTGCAAGGAGCAGAGACTGATAAATCAAAAGATGACGCATCGTGTCCCAGAAAGAATGTTCCAGCCAAAAGAGTCTCCAGGGCAGACACCGGCATTCTTAAGTTCTTTGACAGCTCGAGAGCATCTTAATTACTCGTCTACGTGTCCTATAGCCACTAGCTGATGATGAAGGATCCAAGAGGAGAAACATTCGGAAATGAATCTACCATCAGCTTCTTCCTTGACAAATGGCTCAAGACGTGCTCAAGAAACAGTTTACCATTCAATTTTAGATGCAACTAGGCTCTTGAATCCTGCTTACTTTAGGCGTTCCCTAAGGGTTCGTCGCTTTTGCGGGCATGCGTAGCCGCAACTCAGAAACAGTACGTGCGACACATTGGATTCGTTTCAGGGGCCCCAGGTTTACTTTCAGCCTTCAGAGGTATTCGGTGGAAGATAATCTTACTAGCTAATTACACGATGGTTGTGCCACCTTGAACGGACACGGTGCTGCATATCTGTCATCTAAGAAATTTGGAAAATTCAGGGCCACTTGGGGGATGCACACTTTTCCCTCTTTCATGGCTTTTGCTCGATTGCACTCAGAATATTACAAATACACCTTGTGCTTGGTAGGCCGATTCGAAAATGTGGCGTTGCGTAAAGCCAGTTTTTAGGCAGCTAGAGATCACTCTCGGCGATAGTTGTGAAGATAACGAAATACAATTTATCGCCCTAAATATCCGCTCACAAAAGGCTCTATACTCTGAATACTAGTTAATACCTTGTAGGTTTTTAATAGAAATATTGAACGTACTCTTTCGCGTTTAACAGGTGCCGGTCTTACAGAAGTTTCCGCTGGGACGATGGAAGAAATGAGATTTCTTGGGGTTCGTTAGGCGTTCTGACTCCTTCATCCCTGCAATCACCTTTGGGGGTAAGGAATAAAGACCTTTGAAATCTACCATCTCATCCTATCTTAGGTGAGGTTTAGGATTCTTAGATTTCGTTAGATATTCTGACTCCTTCGTCCATGAAGACACCTTTGGGGCGTAAGGAATTAAGATATTTGAAACCTGTCATCTCCTCTTACTCTGGGGGGGTTAAAAATTGGTGTATTTCGTTAGGCGTTCTGGCCCCTTCTTCCATGCAATTACCTTTGGGGCGTAAGGAATTAAGATATTTGAAACCTGTCATCTCCTCTTACTCCGGGGGGGTTAAAAATTGGTGTATTTCGTTAGGCGTTCTGACTCCTTCTTCCATGCAATTACCTTTGGGGCGTAAGGAATTAAGATCTTTGAAATCTGCCATCTCTTCCTATTCTGCTGAAGCTAAGGATTCTTAGATTTTGTTACATGTTCTAACTCCTTCATCCGTCAAATCCCTTTTGGGGCGCAAGGACCTTGTAATCTGGCATTCCTCCCATCCCGGATCGAACTGAGGGTTCTAGTATGAGAACATTTCGAGACAGGCATCCTAGAACAGAACTGCAAGTATATCGTATATAACAATCAAGCTCTCTCCCAATATCGGCACCATGTGCATACGTTCTTCTGGGTATGTTTCGTAAGATTGGGCCTCTTTTTCTTTTGCTCGCCATAGGGGCGACGGCGCAGAATTATGATACAACCAAAACTTTCTACGCGGCAGTCCCATACACCCCTACGACCGGACATTTTTCAACTTTGAGTAGCAACTCGCCGAGTTCCAGAACTGGTACTACGACAGTTCTGAATACAACTATCGCAACAAAACCTCTCGTTACAACGATCACTTCCGAGGGCCTGACCATTGTACAAACAATAGGATCTACAACCAGGTATAGCACACTAAGTTCTGGATCCAATGGGATGACAAGCACAGCTATCACGATACCTCTCGTTGCGACAATTACTTCTGGAGGCCAAATAGTGGTGCAGACAACCGGGTTTAGCACTATCTATAGCGCGCTAAGTCCAACGGTGGGTGGAGCTGCAAGCACGGCAGTTTTTACGAGTCCCCTCGTAACAACAATTACTTCTGCAGGACAGACGTTTGTGCAGACGACTGGATTTTCGACAATCTACAGTGCTATCTCGAGCAACTCAACTAGCTCGTCAAGTAACTCGGCATCAAGTAGTGTTTTGACGCTAGCAACTACATCTTCTACCAGCAGTGGAGCCGTTACCACTTCCTCTGCTGCAAGTCCATCAACGGGTTCCTCGATTAGTAGCAATTCAGTTGCTAGCTTCAACGGTACAACTAGCTCCCCACCTAGCCCTACAACCAAATCGAACACTCTGGGCAGTATTTCCAGTAAATCGAGCCTTTCAACGGGTTCTTCGATTAGTAGCAATTCGTTTGCCAGCATCAACGGTACAACTAGCTCCCCATCTGGCCCTGCAAGCAACTCAAACACTCTGGGCAGTATTTCTAGTAAATCGAGCCTCACAACGGGATCTTTATCGACTCTTAATATTTCGGCTTCTTCCAGCAACTTGGTCTCTCTCACCGAAGTGGTTCCTTCCACCGGCTCGACCCTCTCTACTACACTTTCGGCGGCGTCATCCCCGAGCGTTAACAGTTCATCTAGAAGTACCACCTCGTTTAGTACTGCTAGAACGACTGTATCCTCAATATCTTCGTCCAGCTTGACAAACACTAGTACATCAAGCACATTCTCATCGACTGCTAGTACAGGGACAAGAAGCTCAGAAAGCTTAGTTTCCCTCACTGGTATATCAAGCACACTCTCATCGACAAACATCTCAGAAAGCTTAGTTTCCCTCACTAGCACATCGTCCTCTTTAAAAACTGGAGTCTCAAAGAGTGTCACCTCATCCGCTAACGGCGTTTCCTCAACCGTTGTGCCGCCACCGGGTCAATCCTCAACAGCCGCGCCTCCACCATCTCCTACGACTTCATACTCTGATGAGGAAATTGATCGCTATTTGACGATGACTTCTTGGGACAATTTCCTGGTCACCTCAACTCTTACGACGGATACAGCCATCTCAGCCAGCCAGACGTCAAACTCTGATTGGAAGAAGAACTTTTGGCTGAAGACTCTGGTCAATGGCCAGCCTACCGATCTTCCTGTTGTTCACTGTGGTTGCATCTGTAAGAATACGTGTGATAATGATGACGATGATGACGACGCGGCCGCCCTATGGATCATCTATTTCAACGTGCCCAAAATCCCCAATCTCCAGATATCTCTTCCGCATCTGCCGGATTTCCATCTAGGTGGATGCATGAAGATCAAGGTTCCGGTCATCAATATCGAGATACCATTGAGAAAATGTCCTCCCGTGAGCGACAACGGTAAACATGGCCATAAGGATCCAGACGACCCGAAAGGAAACAATGAAGAGCCTGACCCAAACGACCCCAATGACCCTAACGACCCAAAGCCATCGAATACGCCATCGAGTAAACAAGAGAGCTCGAAGAGTTCGACAACTTCTTCATCATCTAGCTCGTCATGTTCAGGGGCTGTCGTCACCGACAGATTTACGCAGATTATTTGCCCATCTGAATCTGCTTCGAACTGTCAAACGGCCATTCAGACCTCCACTCGATCTGGCTGTAGCCTAACGGGCACTGCCAAGGTAACGCAGAGTGTCAGTTCGTGTTCAGGAGGTGTAGTCACCGACTTCTTGACAAGAATTTCCTGTCCCACTGGTGGAGCAACTGGTACACAATGTGTTACTGCTGTCGATACTGGTACTCGGTCAGGGTGTGATCTGACCGGTACGGCTTCGGTTACTGTTACTGCCTCGGGCGCTGCATGTGCCCGACAATCATGGCCTACATCCTTTGGGCCGGGTGTGGGATACTCCGCGCCTGGATCTAAGTATGGTACATACACACCGCCTGCAATATTCGGCTCAATTACAATGAGCTTTTCTTCTATGACCGTGAGCAAGAGTAGCGGATTGACTGGAGCAACCACTGGGTCTCCTCCCACAACCCTATCGACAGTTACGATCAGCAATTCAAGCTCATCATCTAGAACTCAAAGTAGTAAAACCTCGCCATCGACGGGAACAGAGAGTAACACCCAGTCCACTAGTTCTTACACCTCCAAGAGTTCCACCACTAGTGCAAGTGACACTGGAAAGCCCTCTGAATCTTCAACAGTCAACCCCATTTCGTCCTCAACCACTCCAATGCCAACACCAACTCAGTCCCTGAAATGCGAAAATAACAGAAACCAATACTGGGTCAGCCCAGAAACCATGGAGAAAGGTATAACGGACTTCTGCGACGAAGCTTCTAAGGCAAAAGGTTGGGACGATGGAGTGGGACGGTTGAACCATAAGAGAATCGAGCGCATGTACAACAAAGACACAGACGACCAGGTCGTCCTCTTGATCTCGAGCACTACGGATGCCACCGACAAGGCAACTATCCAAATTAACAAAGACGATTGCATATCCAACATGACCAAAATATTCGAGGAATGCCCCACCGGTCAAGACATTCCAGGGATTGACTGGAGACATGGCGGAGAGTATGTCAACGGTTATTTAGACTGGATTCTTGTTACCGACAAACTTAAATATACACCTGGCATATGCACCTTCAAAGTCAGTGAGAAAATGCAGACGGTGGGCCAAGAGCACCACTGGTGGACCAAGACCTCAATCAATGATGCAGCAGACGAAGTGGTTACGCCGATGGGTGAATACGATGAGATTTATTTCGACAACAGAGATCCGAATAAGGTGCCGGGTTTGTATAAAGAGCTGGAAATAGAAGCCGGCTATGATACTAATGGGGATGAAATGTTTCATTTCGAATTGGGTAACTATCAGTTCTCCTCAAAATTTGTCGCCCAGAATAACGACAAGGTGCCGAGGTGTGAGGTGGGCGAATGGAGTGAGACTGATGGGGTGCATACCCGAGACACGAACTGTTGGGTGTATTGTTGATTTTCTGGTAGAATCTCAGGTAGAATCTCTGGTAGAATCATTGGTTGAATATGTATGCTTTTATGTTGTCCTTATGGACGAATTTCTCTCTGTTCTTTCTTTTCTAGCCACTACTAAGGAGGCCTTGGGGACCTTCTCAATGTAGTCCGAGCTTGATGCATGGAACCCTTGTACAAGCAATTTGATAGCGTGGGGTATTAGCTTCTAGAATTAAAACAGATGTGGTGCGCTCCATGCTTGCCTTAAACTAATTGTTTACAGTAAAAAAATTACTCACTATATGTAGTAAATGCGTAGACGTATGGCTGAAAACCACTAAAGAAATACAGAAATTCGACCTATGGGAAAGGTCCTTAGATTCCAGATCTGCTGGCGCGCCCAGGGATATAAAAAAAACCCAGCGCCTCAGCAACACCCACACAGACTCCCAACCATCTCTTGACAATAAAGTGAGACTTAATCATAGTGATTCTCCGTATTGTTGCTTGTAAACAACGGAAGAAGGCTTAGGTGCATAGTCCGGTGGATTGTTAACTGGCGAAAGAAACTAAAAGGTCGATCGTCCTACCGAACGACACAACCGCACGTGCACGCCTAGATATAAAATCCTTCCAAATCCTAAATACTTTCTCGCACACAATTCCATTCCGCTCTTAAGACAAGAAAAGTGTGGGACCCCTGTTCATGCTCGAGATCGCTGCCTTTGGAAATTCATAAGTTTGGACCTCAAGGTTGGACGCAGCTACAACCGGTAAGGGAGCCTCAAAATTTGAAGAGTAATCACTCTCATGAGAAGAATTCCAGATCGACTAGCGCACCCGAGTGCTTAATATAAAATCTGTGAACCTTTTAGGAGCACCAAGGGCATCAGGAACTAAGTTGCTTGCTAAAGAAACGTATTTAAGGGTTTATATATACAAAGGAGTGAGCTAGGCAGCAAGCTACTTATCAGGCTGCATGCAAATATAGTAAGCAGTAGTGGCTCTTGAAAATGAGCAAGTGGTAGAGCTCAGAGAGCTCCGTAACTATAAAGAAAACCTCTCGAAGCTCGTCCGCTTTTCTGCGCAGTCTTCCAGCCATCTCTCGAGACCATAGAAAGATGTAGCATCCTCTTTTATGGTCGAGGTTGTTGGGTCTTAAAAACAAACCTTAGTAGGCGCATAGTTAACGGCAGTGTTGGTTTTGGTGTTTGATAGTCCCAGATATACATCTCATGGTTAAGAGCGGTTGCGGTGGAATAAAACGAAGATTCCGTTGGAGCTATTTGACGCCGTGAAGACAGGCTTTGGGGGTTCAAGACGTTTAAAACTCGAACGACAGAGACAGGAAGAAAGAGTGGTGGTGAAGAGATGATGATGATGATGATCCGATTTTCAAAGCCATCATCCATTGAGGGTGATAAAGCGAATTGGCACAATATCCTACGTAAAAACCTCCAGAAATGGAAATTGCAAAACATATTCATTACAAAACCCCAGCCAACAAACCCCCAAACCCACGAGTCGACTCTAGAATGAAAAGAAGGAAAGCAAACAGGTACCCATATCCTCATCCTATCATATAATCATACCATACTACATTCCTATCCGTTCCCGGCAAAACTCTAGCCTATTTCTCCGCCTATGGCGTAAGCGGGGCTGTCGCTGGGGGCATGGCTGCGTGTGGCAGAGCTGAGGGACGAGGGGTGTGGTTTTGGAAGAGCAGTTTGTCTTTTGGTGCCATGGTTAGTTGGTGTGGGGGAAGGTGTTTTGGTTGAGTTGAGTAGAATGTGACAACGATGTGATATGGTGTTGACTCAAAGCCCAATGATACTTAACTCAGAATTCTCAAGTCGAAATTTAGGCACTCAGTTTGCGATTGACTAACAAGAATGCTTGTTAAAGTCGAACAAGCCCCATGCATCCATCCCACCCTTCTTTATTCCCCTCCGCAGGATGCGGAAGTTCAAAACCTCATATGCTGTAGACAAAGGGGAATAGGGCAATTGCGCTAGCGCGAACGACCTAGTCTACCTCTTTGTCTAGATCTAGAGGTGAATGTGAATCAGATGGTGCAATAGTATTAGTATCTTCGTGTTGAGGACGGTCCACTGGGCTTGAAGCAATGGGCTTTGAGACGAGAGATGCTGCCGCGTCAGGGTCTTCTGGGGCCCCAACACACACAGAGGGAGACAGGGCTGTGAGGGGTGATGGTGAATTGGTGGGTTGGGGGTGGTTAGGTGAGGAATGTAGCTGGTGGCCTTAAATGAAGTTGGCATGGAAGCGGTACATCCCTTTCTGAAACTGAATGCGAGAATCTGGCACCGTCGGACGACGCCTCATCATGACTTGAACGATTAGCAACTTCCATAGAGCTGATGGCTTAGAAGAATATGATGTGGGCATTTGATCCTAAAAATGCCAATTCCTTGTGAACTATCACACACATGCATAAATCAAACTCGCTCGTATGCACGCTCCAATAGGCTCTGCACGTTTAAGCAAGGCCCGAAAATTCAGCCAAAGACCAACTCATGCTTGCTTTTAAGATGATCAGAATACCTGAAAAGTGCCTATAAAATGTACACAATGCTATGCAATATCCCAATATCAATACGCCTGGCCATGTTAACAAGTCCCAAACAATATCAAATGCCATCATCCGAGGAAAGCAAATCGTCCCAGGTCTAGCGTTGGCTTGTGTGGGGAGTTACCCTCCTCTTCGCTGTCGGGGACTAGTAGATCTTCACTCCCCTTGACCTCTACCTCGCGGGATGATGCTGGTGTGGGCTTGGGTTTCTCTGGGCTCTCAATATCGCTGGCTGCAACAACCACTTCGGTTTCCATGGCTGCCCAAGCCGAATCTTCAAGTTCGTTAGATTCGCCGTTGAGCTCAGCCGCCTTTAAAGGGTTCGATTCAGAACACGGGTCCTGTGAGGCATGTGTTGTTGGTTGGGATATACTAGCTGCCGGTCCGGAGGTAGACCGTAGTAGGGTACTACCTCGAGGGCCCTTCGACAGCCAAGAACGTTCGGATGCGACAGACGAGGAGCGATACGAGAATCTCGAACGAAGATCCTTCACCTGTGCGGAGAGAGCTGCACTAAAAACCGAATGCTCTTCAGATTCACGTGCAGGGCTACTACAGGAAGTAGCAGGCGTGAGAATCCCGGAAATATCCTGTGACATCTCGGTAATGCTTCTGGAAAGCGTGGTGGACTGCGAATCGCTGTTCACGCTAGATTGAAAGTCGTCCTTGAAAACCGCTACCTTCTCCTTTCGAAAAGAGGGGACTTCATCGAGGTCTGCTAGTTCGGCCATTGCCTCTTCAATGGAATCATCGGACCATAGTTCGAAATTTTGATCTTGGCTCTTCTTGCTCTTGTTTATTGATGGGCTCGGGTCCGGCTTTGAGGAATTGAAGAATCTGCTTCGCGTGATTTCGGGCTTGTCAGAGTCTCTGTCAAGGGTACCGAATGCACCGTCAGAGCACAGCCGCTGCCTCTTTGAGGGATGCGGTGCGGATGCTCTTCTCGCGAATGAGTCTGATGTGGCCCGCCTTGGTGGCTGAGGAGCAGTCCTTGGGAAGGAAGACCGCTGTTGTGACTGCGGGTGCGACTGTGGAGCTAGGACTGCCGCCCATCCACCACCATTTAGTTGTTGCTGTTGTAAAAGGGCTTGCTGACTCGGCGATGGAGTGAAGCTGTTTGGATCCAGCTCAGCCAAGGGCGTGCGCCTTGGCCTGAAAAAGGTATCGATTGGTTTTGTCTGCTTTAGGTCTGGAGTTTGGGTTATAGAAGGTGTCCTAGAAGCGGGCCTCAGTGGTTTAGACTTTGACCTGTCTTTCTGTGCGACAATAATGGGTTCCTTGGTGTGAGGGTGCAGGTCACCTCGCGATACGCCGAATGCTACGTTCGGCGGGACTTCTTTGCCGATATATGGCATCTCATCAATGTCAACCCCAGAATCCGGGACTGTCAGATTGACGAGTTGGTTGGAACGCGGACAGAAAACCCATTGGTAGAGAAAAGTGTTCTCTGCCTGATTAAAAGCTTCCATGTAGCCAGGGGGCACTTTTAACTGACCCTCGAACTGCGCTGCTCGTACAAGCCGTTCCACTGTCTTGTGCTTTCGTAACATCCGGTAAGCGGTCTTCAGTCCCATCTTGCCTATGCCGGGAAGATAGTCACAACCACTCAAGATAGCCATTCGTCTGAAATCAGTATCGGACCATCCTACCAGGCTAACTTCCCTACACGCCGTGAAGTGGTTCCGGTTCACCTCGACACATTCTCCATACTTGTCTAGCTTTGTGATCAGACATTTAGCACCGAAAACGAGCAAGTCCGAGTCTTCGGATAGGATTCCGTTTATGATACCCTGGCGCTCGAGATAGGCCAATTGTGAGTCTGCTTCATAAGGCGCTACGATGTACTGGATATTGTGGTGCTTTAGTTCCTCAATCAGAAGACGGGCCATTTCTGGAGTCACATCGACGGCCTTCTGCAACTCCAAATGTGCTTGTGATGCCTTTCCCATTTTGAGCAACTCCAGTCCAACTCGTCTAGCCTCTTTCCGTCGTTCTGCCCTCTCCTTCTCGGTCCCGGCCTTGCTGGGGAGGTAGTCTCCATCGAAAACGAGATAAGGTGTGATTCCGAAATGGACAAGCATTCGTACTCGATTCATGGCAAAGTCGACAAATCTGGTAATCGATGAGTGTGTAATTGGTTGAATTGGGAGATCACAACGCACTTGGTTGTCGGCTTATCTAACGCGAGATCGATAACACAGGACGCAGTCCCTCGATGGAGCCATCCGTAGGCATCAACACCAATAGTCTGGCCGGCATATTTCTTGAGACTGCCCGGCTTGTGAATCGACTTCAACAGCGGCAATAGCCCTTCAAAAATCAGCGTAGGGGAGTCCAGTGTGGAATGATACGTACCGGAAATGCCCATTTTGCACCCTCCTTCGGACCACAACGCGCCGAAACAATGCTCTTAGGATGCTGCTATTGTGTCATTATGGGATTGAGATGGCAAGATGATAGAAGAAGAGTCTCCAGGAACTATTGCAACAAGCTAATTGCGTAACAGGGGCGGTGATCAAAGCAAAGTAGTGGTCGCTGGTGAGGACCTGTGCGACGCGTAAACTGCAAGGCAAAGGCTGGGGACGCGACGAGGAGGTCGGAGTCGTTTCCCCGAAACGCCGACCCGCCGACCTCCCCACTGAAATTTCCAACTCCGACCCCAAGAAATCTTCACACTCCCAAGGAAAAGTCCCGATGGTTAGCAATCGCTTCAGCAAAGTGCAAAAGCACATCACGAAAAAGAAGGGGAAGAATGCGTCTCTGCATGAGAATAGCCGAGATACGCGCCGGCTTCAGAGCGCGGCTGGGAGAGACGACAAGCTAAATCGGCTTGCTGCTGTGCGCGAACAGCAGAATCGGCCATACTGTATGGAATACGGATTGAAGGGAGACCGGGAAGCCTAGCTAATGGTTTTTCCAGTGATGAGGATCAAATTCTTTCAATCTGCTGCTGCCAAGCACGACACAAGCTTCACCATATCCGAAATCCAGACCCTAATTAACGCCTATCTACACCGAGACGACGAAGAATTGGCCGCTTTGAAGGCACAGCGTCGAGTCGGTAGGCCTCCAAGTACGCGCGAGACTCTCTTGAAACAGAGCCAGAACAGCGAACAAGGCGAATATGCATCCGGGTTCTGGTTGCCGGATTTCGAAGATAGCGAAAACCTCAAGGCCCTAGCCAACTGGAACGGACAATGGTCAAGCCTGAGTACATTGAAGTTCGTCCGGCTCGCAGCAGACGGGGCCAGGCGGGAGTCGAGCTTTCCCCCAAAAGGATTGTCATGAGAAAGTGGTTTCCGAAACGTGCCTAGCCCCAATGATTGCTGGTTGGGAAAGCCCTCTCCGTTGGATATATAGAGTTGCACAACTCCCCTGACTGTCCTTGCTATGCTTTGTACTCTTCTCATTATGAAGCTTCCAAAACCAAAATGGGCGAACTTAGCGCAACAAAGGAGCTCCTTCTGGGTATGGTATCCAACGTCTTCACCTCGCTTCCACCTCTAACCAAGCTACAGCAAATGCCCCCTTCCTTTACGGTGGTGATTAAATCTACCCATACTGACCATTCTCAACCCAAGGATGGCCATCTCAAGGCCTCCCTGGTTTCGTAATTCACGAACGAATTCAGGAAGTCCTACTTCGGCAAAATATTGCACACCCACCTCAGGATGGGATCCACTTATTCCCTCACTTTGGAAAACCCACCCGGGAATTTGGCAATGCTTGTAGCTAGGGCTTTCGGTAGCTGCTTTTCTTTGCCTTAATATTCGAATGTGTTAGTAGGACGATGCAAATGGATTTTGTTCAAGCATACAAAATGAAGGCCAGGGATCAGATGCGGAAAATCTAGCTTTCGAAACTGCGCTCTATAGAGAAGAGGAGCAAGGTTGAGGGAAGTGATTGTTGAATAGCGGGAATGAGTAGACTGAGGTTTGGGGGAATATGAGGGTAGGAAATCTGAGTCCACGTCGTTTCAATTCACTATAGTCACCTTTGTCTCTTGCTACTCGATATCTCACGTAGTCATGAATAGGTTTTTCCTGAAACCATCAGCCGTTTTCAACAGTCCTCGAACAGCGGTATCTTCATAGTCTTCATGGGGGTTTATGTCGGCATACTTCTTTTCCATACATATACACCCCTCTGCTCACAGTTCCATATAGCCTCGCAAACTCTGCGTTTAATATAAAAATTGATGTCATCCACCCATATCCCCCGATTTGTCCCCAATATACGTCGTACATTACCACCCAAGCTTTCCTCGCAGATGCCTTATATGAGTTAGGTAAAAGCTCGAAGCTCTGTTTCTAAGTTGCCCTCCATCGCGTTTCGCACCGTCAAGTCTCCAACGCGCAAAATGAGCGAATACTTGACCTAGAGAAAGTGCATCATCGTCAATGCCTCTGCTTCCCTTTCTTCTTGCGTCCAACTGATAGATCTAGAGTAAATCCCAAGTCCCTTCACGGAAACCATCAGGACTCCAACATCGTGTTGCACATGGGTGGTACTCCTGGGGCGAATTCCGTAGCGAAAGTCTCCTGGTCTCCTACGAGATGTGCGACAACCCAACGGATATGTCCGACGGTATGTTGATGCGGAGCCAACCATCCACTAATCCTTACCAAACCCATGATGCGGTGATGTATGAGTTGTATGTTAGAATGATGGAAGATATTAAAGATTTGGGTAAGTAAATCTTGTTTGGGTACTTTTCGATAGATCAAACTAGGCACAAGGCTAATGGTGGCTTCATGGGGTAGGGAATATTAAGGTTAGAAAAAATGCTCGTTAGTGTCCAGGTACTGAAGGGGTAGTGCGCTGGATGAACGTTTTGCATTGATAACAAGGCCCTTGGGCAGCGCAAGTTGTAGGTTTATCTAGAAGCGATATTGGTCCGTTCACTGAGAAAATCCAGATTCGGGAACTGGAACGTAGGTCGATAAAGTTTTGGCCATTATAGAGAGCTGCGGGTACAATGGTTGATAGAAATTTAGAGGATTGCTACATCATCCTATCACATCACCAGTCAACTGCACTATGCTAGCAAGCCGCGAGAGCAATGTTTTAGGTTGTTTAAATGCAATGGTCTTGCGCGCAATGCACTTTCCCCTCACAAATCTCATAGAAATGCTAGTCACTGCACATACTGCCCTATATAATCAACTACAACGCTTTCTACTGTACGTGAAGCTTTTTAAATGTATAGATAGAGCCTACCCTACTAATTTAACAGAGTTTTAGATTATAGATCTAACTGCAGGCCTCTTACAGGCCCTTTAGGGTAGAGTTGGCAACAATCAAGTCGACTTGATAACTTGACTTGATTGACTTGATTAATAGCCGTCAATCAAGTCAATCAGCCAGGCGAAATTTACCAAGTCAATCAAGCAAATCGTGCCTGCTTAATTAACTTAATTAACAGACTTAAATCCCTAGGATCTTAGGTTTACTGGGGGATACAGGATCCTTTAGTGTGCGGGAGTAGTGAATATAGTATGAGGCAGCTCGGCTTTAAGGGACTTTAGAGTCGTGATAGTTGCCTAACTAGGCTTAGCGCCATATATCTGAAATTCCTCAACTTCTACCGCCCACCAACTTACCTGCCTCTACCACGTATACAAAGGCTGGCTAGACGACTGCCACCTTGGCTTTCAACGCTTGTGGGCAGAGTTTAAAGACGCCGCCTCTCCCGTCAGTACTCCAGAGCCTCCGCCGAAGAAGGCACGTACAGGGCCAGCTGGGAGCCGGTCAGATTTTATGAGAGCTGCCCTACAAGGTGACGACGCCCGCCCAATTGCGCGCAAACAGGGACTCCTCTAGTACAGGTGACTTGATTATCCAGCGCTCGAACTCATCGCGGCGATAGGTTTGGAAGCGCCTTAGCTTGAAGCCTACAAAGTTAGCAAAAAGTCCACGTAGTGACGCCATCTCTCCCGAAGACCTGGAGACCATCTACAAGATATACGGCGGTTGATTCACTACGTAATCTATCAATCAAGTCAATCATGTCAATCAAGTTAAGCCTCATTTGTGCCATCAAGTCAATCAAGTCAATCAAAACGTGCCAGATCCGTCAATCAATCAAGCAATTCACCCCGACTTGATTGACTTGATTGTTGCCAACTCTGCTTTAGGGTATGCGCTTTATAAAAGCGCGCATTCTTAATCTAGAGGCCTTACTACTAGCCTCCTCCTACTTAAAGCACAGCTAGAAAATTGTTTATTGTTATTCTATTGCATATTATCTCCTTATGCTTAGCGTTCTTATCCTAGAAGCTATTACTTGCTTACGCGCTAGCTGTAGTGCTGTCTATGCAATCTATTAGAACTTATAAAGTATAATACTATTACAGCCCTGCATGTGCAGCAATTAGAGCGTCCTCTAAGACTTACCCTAGCTAACAAAGAGGCTCTGTTTAATAAGTTTATTACACATAGCCAGATGTACTAAGACAAGATAAAGTAGTAGTTATTTATAAAGCGTAAAGTTTATTATAATATAGTAATAATAATTATAAGGATCTTTACTATATTTAACTAATAGTAGTTTAATAGCTATTGTATTTTAGCTCTCTTTTTTTAACATCCTAGAGATATTTAATTAATTAATAAGCACTATAACGTACACTACAGACGAGTTGCTCACACACCTAAGTTGCTTACTTTTACTAAAACTGTAACGATTCGCTTGAATCGTTCTATTCAAAGTTACCTGGGGAACCTTATATCCGAAGGTTCCTCGTATCTGCTCCGATCCTGCCCTGCCCCCTGCTGTACCTGTGAGAGCACTGTGAAGCAGGAAGCATGAAGCGCAGAAGGGGGTACAGGATAGTATTGATAGACGAATCCTTGAGGAGACTCAGGGGTTCGTGAGAGTATATATATATATGTGCCCAAGGCCGGGCCGAGGGCTCTCCGGGGAGAGTCCGAGACATGTCCAAGTTAACCGTGACAGTACCCATATTCCCCCAAGTATTTAGTCGCACCTCTCCCCTTAGCTAGCTTAGTAGTTTTCTGATATCCTTTGTACAAGGCCTATAGGTGTTAATGGCATTCCCAGATTTCTGAGTCCCCACGCACTCCCATATGCCTCTGAGTGGATTCATACCGCATTCGGACCCATTGTCTTGCCTGTGCCGTTACAGTGTAAATCCACTTAGAGGCATATAGAAGTGCGTAGGGACTTAGAAACCTAGAAATTCTGTTAACATCAATAAGCCTTGTGTAAAAGAATATTAGAAAACTTCTAAGCTAGCTAAGAGGAGAGGTGCAGCTAAATACTTAGAGATAGGGGTAGCGCAGGGGGGAGGGCAGGGTCGGGGCAGATACGCGGAACCTTTAGATATAGGTTTGTTAGGTAACTTTAAATGGAACGATTCATGCGAATTGTTACGCCTACATAACTTAACAAGCTTTTAGTAGTGCGCAGCCTACACTTCTGTCTTCTCTAATTAAGCCTTTAAACTACTTGCAGGTGCTTTTTTTTGTAATAAATAGATTTAGTAACGCAGGGCGTTTAGTAGAAGCTTTAGCAGGTGCTTTTAGAGGAGCTAGAGTTAACGCAGCACACGTGCTACCTTGCGCAACTCTACTAGCCCTCCTACCGCGTACAGTGTTCCTACTGCGAAGAGCTAGTGCTAGAGTACTTGAAGCGCGCTTTTTAAATATAATAATACTCTAACTATTACTTCCTTATTTATTATAAGTTAACTAATAAGTAGCAGGAGGGTTTCTAGCTATCTGTTTATGTTAATAATAAAAGTAAGTAATTTAGGGTATAATTAGCAGTAACTACTCTAAAAATCAGTTAGATAGGGCAAATAGAGCCTATTAAAAAGCCTTACTTACTATACAACATCCTTCTCCTATTAGGCGGATTATATGGAGCGATATGTACAGTGACCTGCATTTCTATGAGATTTGTGAGGGGAAAGTTGCTCCTTAGAATTGCCAAGAATCCAGAGAATTTCGCACACGCATGCCCAGGGCATAGACTTCACCCTTTAGCCCTTAATTGCAGGATCTAAACGAAGCATAACTTTATCTAGGATTCATAAACTAACGCAAAGCACCTGTTCTAGACACAGCTTATCTCAAATGTCTCACTCCACAAAGCTTCCGGCTAAGTTCGCTAGAGTTGCGCTAACTTTCTTAGACTTCTGCAACTTTTTGTAGCCAATTAGATGTTGCAACTGTCAGAAAAGCCCGAATTACAAGTTGACCTGCACGCGCCTGATTGCCCAGAAAGTTGCTGCGCCGCTCGTTGCTGACAAGCAATCCATTGCCATCCACAGTATATCATGATACTAAGGACGACTTCGAAGCCCGATTCTTCAGTACATTCACTGCACTGCCTCCTGCCTTACATCTGCCCTTCCTGAAGATAGTTGCCTATTCCAGGGCGTGACCCTGAAAACAGATCGTAAAATCCGGTCACCCACGACAAGATGCCGTTTTTATCGACAGCAGAAGAAAGCTTGTTCCAACTGAATTCAGCCCAGTTCGACTTCAACGTTGAATTCGAGCAGCTGTTCTTCTCCATCATTCCATCAACCGTATTCATTGTTGCGTCACTATGGCGAATGGTCTCCCAGTTCCAGAAGCCTACTGTGGTGAACGCCCCCGTATTTCGTCTAATCAAACTGGTATGCTACTACATCTATGTTTCTCCTTGATTTACTGAATGAGCTACTTAGGGCGCTATCTTAGCCTATGCCGGGCTCGAACTTTCACTTGTCATCGTAATGGCTGTGGGCTCACTCCAGGCCACTCGCCTCTTCGTAGCTGCCTCCACATTGAAACTTGTCGCAGCGTCAGTAATGGTGTTTCTAAGCTTTGTAGATCATAGCAAAAGCCGAAGGCCATCAGTCCTGCTTAGCAGCTACGTCGTGCTTACGCTGCTACTTGACGCAGCGCAGGCCAGAACGCTGTTTTTGTTATCAGATAGAGGAATTGAAATTGCTTGGAGCAGCATATTTGTTACCGCACTCAGTCTTAAATGTGGCATTTTATTTTTAGAAGCCCAGGGAAAGTCAAAATGGATAAATTGGGACCAAAAGGAGCACAGTCCTGAAGAGACAAGTGGGATCTTTTCACTCGGCGTTTTCTTCTGGCTCAACAAGATTTTCTTAAGGGGGTACAGGCAGATCTTGACAATCAAGGACCTTTACCCGCTCGACAGTGAGATGCAGGGCGAGTTGCTCCACCAGCAATTTCAAAGACAAATGGAATGTTCTAAATTAAGAGGAGATAGATTTGGGCTCTTAAAGGCGTTGATCTCTACGCTCAAAGGACGACTACTACTTCCAGTTCTTCCAAGGCTAGCGCAGCTTGGTTTTCAAATATGCCAGCCATTCTTCATCGAAAATCTGGTGGAGTATTTAGGGAGGCCTGAAGGTGTCGAAGAGAACATTGGCTACGGCTTCATTGGTGCGAGTGTACTTATTTATTCGGGTATAGCCATCTCCGTGGCTCTTTGTTGGTGAGTACAAATGCTTTACCTTTCTAGGATTCTATCGGTCGTTGACTTGACCTCGAAGGTATTTTCATCATAGGACTCGTATCATGACGAGAGCAATCTTGGTGACCGAGATATACAACAAAGCGACTCAAGTCCACATTGGAGCTGGCGACAATAGCGCTGCTGTAACGTTGATGAGCACAGACATTGAGCGAATCATCTACGGTATGAGGACCTTACACGATGTTTGGGCTTGTGTTCTCCAAGTTGCTATTGCCGGGTGCATGGCATTCCGCCATCTCGGCCCAATATTTGCGGTGAGCATGGGAGTTGTCATAATTTGCACGGCTTGCTTGGGATATCTCCTCAAGTTTACTGGAAGTGCGCAGAGAGCCTGGATGCTGAAAGTTGAGAAGCGAGTCGGCATGACTGCAACAGTCATCGCCGGCATGAGAAACTTGAAATTATCTGGACTATCGACTGCAGCTAGCGACTTTTTGCAGCAGCTTCGGACCGAAGAGCTAGTAGCCGGATCGACTTTTCGAAAGATTACTATTCTGGCCGCTTTGTTCGGATTCGTTCCGTTTTTCCTTAGTCCGGCACTGACTTTCGCCTTCGCTCAGAGGCAGTTGGATGCCGCTAGAATATTTTCTAGTCTATCATGGCTTCTCCTGCTAACCAACCCCCTGGGACAGATATTTCAGGCTATACCCCAGATAACTGCTGGTTTGGTCTGCATCGGTCGCATACAAACTTTCTTGAAGTCTGAAAGCAACGTCGATTATCGTCGACTTTCCAACCCCGGTCGAGAGGGTTCAGAGAAAGCACCGACTGTTCATGATACCGAATCAAGGTTCAGTAATCTATTTATTATCAGAGATGGCAAGTTCGGCTGGGAACGAGATAAGCCCGTACTCAAAGACGTCAACGTTGAAATCCCAAAGTCTTCGCTCACCATGGTTGTTGGACCCGTCGGATCAGGGAAGTCTACATTTTGCAAGGCTCTGCTAGGCGAACTTATCTACAGCGAAGGCAGTGTAGAGCTCAGTGAGAGGGTTCACCACGTCGGATTCTGTGAGCAAACTGCATTCCTTTTCAATGGATCTATCCGTGAGAACATTGTTGGTTATTCCCTGTTCGATCAAGACAGATACTCCGAGATTATCGATGCAACGGCTTTGAGCGTGGATCTTACGTTGCTCCCGCAAGGCGACCATACCATTATCGGATCTGATGGTATTACCCTTTCCGGGGGTCAAAAGCAACGCGTATCGCTCGCGCGAGCTCTGTACCTTCAAGCTGATTTACTCGTCCTTGATGATGTCTTTAGCGGTCTAGACGCGGATACCGAAACGCATGTCTTCGAAGAAGTATTTGGACCGCGTGGGATTCTCGCGCATCGACACTCGACGGTTGTGCTATGTACGCACAGCATAAGACACTTACATACGGCTGATCACATCATAGCTCTGGGAAATGAAACAGTTATCGAAAAAGGAAGCTTCAAAGATCTCATGGAAAGCGCAGGTTATGTACAGAGTCTTGGCCTGACAAGCTCTGATAGCGAAACTTCGTCTCAAGATAAGATATTAGAAGGGGAAGCGTCCAACCCGAAGCCCAGATACGGTGTCATCAAACCACAAAGTGAGATATCTAGTCTTATGTCAAACGCTGATCAGGCGCGACAAATGGGAGACAAGACGATCTACAAGAAATATGTCAAGGCAATGGGGATCCCTGCAGCGGCATCTGCTTTGGGCTTTGCCGTTCTTTGGGGTTTCTTTACCAATTTTCCAACAGTCTGTAAGTCAGCAGCATCTCAGGTGAATTTGGGATTGCAGACACCTCTAGAAATTGAAGCGTCTGTGAAAGGCTCTTTTGGTCACGTATACGTTTTACTTCTTACTAATATCGCCCGATATAGGGCTAAACTACTGGACCGAGGACATATATTCGGCGTATCCGAGACACTCGTTCGCCTTTTACGCAGGAATATATGGAGTCTTCCAAATCTGCGCCATGGTTTCATTATTACTGCTCGGCATTGTCATTTTCATCACATCCGTGAATAAGGTCGGAGCCAACCTTCATCAGGACGCGCTGTGGACGCTTTTCCGAGCAACATTACGTTTCTTCACGAAGACTGACACGGGCGTTATCACCAATTTGTTTTCGCAAGATCTCAACTTAATAGATACAGAACTGCCGACTGCGCTTCTGAACACTTTATTCTGCGTAAGTGCTTAGAGATCACATTACTTGCTTCATTGCTCAAATTGTGGGCCTTGACCGTGGCAACTTGTCTAATTGAAGACAGGTATTTCAAGCACTCGGACAAGCTGCTGTTATGCTCACTTCGTCACCATACCTAGCAATAAGCTACCCATTTCTTGGGGTTCTGCTATACATTTTATCGAAGTACTATCTATGTACCTCTAGACAAATCAGACTTCTTGATCTGGAAGCCAAAAGTCCTCTGTAGTGAGTCTAAATGGTGCAAAACTCATAGGCACTTTGCACTCACATACGATCATAGCACACACTTCATTGATACACTTAAAGGTATCGCTACATTAAGAGCTTCTGGTAGGTTCCTATAACTCAGACTAAACTATCCGTAATGTTAAGATAAGTTTCCTACAATTACCAGGCATAATATGTAGCCAGGAGATCTGCTAATCTAGATGTAACGCAGGCTTTCTCTCTAAAGAGCTTGAGAAGAACGCCCGACTCATCGACGCGAGCCAACGCCCAGCCTATTTCCTACTGATGATTCAGCAATGGTTGAATTGCGTCGTCGACGTCGTGGTCATGATTATGGCAGTAGTCCTCACCACGCTTGCTGTGCAACTACGTTCTCATTCTGGGTTCACGGGCGCATCATTGGTTTCTCTCATGCAGTTCGGCGAGAGTCTATCGGGGATCGTCATCTTCTACACTCAGCTGGAGACTTCACTTGGCGCGATTGGGAGATTGAAGAATTTCGATGAGACAGTAATGCCGGAGGGTAATCAGGATGAAAATGTCGTGCCTGCTGAGCAATGGCCGCACAACGGTCACATCGAGTTCAAGGGCGTATCTGCAAGCTACAAGTAGGTCAAAAACCTCTTCACCGCAATCTCCGCGAGAAAGGTGCTAATTTACGTGTAGCATCGATGAAAGGTCAGAAGATAAACTTGACCTGGCCATTAAAAATGTCAAACTTGAGATACAGCCAGGCGAAAAAGTTGCTATTTGCGGCCGCAGCGGCAGCGGCAAGTCAAGTCTCATTGCCCTTCTCCTCAAACTCCTCGATCCAACGTCCGAAACCAAAAGCAATATTGTGATCGATGACCAAGCACTTCAGTACATCGACCGCACGGCTCTTCGCCAGCGCCTCATTGCTATCCCACAAGAACCCGTCTTTCTGCCTGACGGCACGACATTCTACACCAACATTGACCCATTCAAGGTTTCTACGCCTACTGAGTGCCAAGGTGTCCTTGAAGCCTTGAATTTGTGGCACTTTGTTACGCAGCGAGGTGGCATTAACGCGAGCATGAGTGCCAGCACTCTCAGCGCAGGCCAACGCCAGCTCATGTCCCTTAGTCGCGCTTTACTACGCCGCCGCGTACTGGAACGAAGCCGCAGTGGCAACTTCCAGTCTCCAAAAGGCGGCATCCTTCTACTTGACGAAGTGAGCTCGAGCGTTGACCACGAGACGGAGCGTCTTATGCAAGATGTTATTAGCTCAGAATTCAAACACTACACCGTCGTGGCGGTGAGCCATCGTTTAGACATGGTCATGGACTTTGACCGCGTTGTGGTTATGGATACGGGGGAGATTGTGGAGGTGGGCAAGCCGAGGGTGTTAGCAGAAGAGGAAGGGTCGAGGTTTCAGATGTTAGCAAAGGCTGCTGCCAAGTAGATTGCTAATTAGATTAAATTTTATCATTTTGTGAGTATCTAACAACTAGTCAGTTACTTATGTGCATTGCAGTCCATACCTGATTAGTTCGTGCCCAAATTTAAGGTTTAGTAATGAAAGTAACTTAAAGCTATTAAATCTGCTTAACGTAAGTACTAGGTACTGTAGGAAAGTGTCATTTGAGAATCACAATAATCTCAGTAATTAGTCGTGGTGTGCAGCGTCGCAACGTTGTTTTGCGCAGAACTTTGATTTTCTGTCCCACCACGCAACTGATCTGGGACTGACCCATTTTCCACCTCACTATCTGATGTAATGTTATGTTGTCGCTCGGACCGGTAACGGGTTTCGCATCACAATGACTTTGTCTTCGCTTCAATAGTTAACTTCACGACAGAGCCTTCCGACCCCACACAAGCACGCAAAGAGCTTTTCCTGGAGGATTCCAATCGAACTCTGCCCAGAATGCTCGATCGATTGTTATAATACCACCAAAGCGTTTGAGAATCAAAAGATCGTTACGATGCCGACTGCTCACTCCGCCACTTCCAGAACGCCCTCAAAAACAAGCCCCTCATCTTCTAAACACTCTCCCATTCCTTCTCCTGCCTTTCCACACACGGACCTACATACACCTGGTCCGGTTGCAACATAGCATACAACCACAGATCGCTAGGTCGCTCCACCAAGCTCACAATCAACGGGTACAAATCGTCAATGACCAAGCATCCCAGGATTTTCAACTCGTTCTTGTAGCCAGGCGATTGTTTCGCAATAAGCCGGGGATCATAGGCTGTTTTGTCAATAATTTTGAGGAAGCCGCTGTAGTCACCGTAGGATGTTCATTTGTCGCCGGGAAAGTATGAGGCGGAGGGCGTCATGTAGGAGGTGATGCCATATTCGGCTTGACCTCATCAGATCCTTCCACCCGCTCGCCAGATCGCTCAAAGTCGGCATTCGCCTTCTGGAAGAACGCATCCCACTCCTCTTTCGAAGTGGTATGCATCAGCATATAAGCCACGAAACTCCATCTCTGTCTGATCCTGCGGCCCGCTATGACTGAGCGACCACTTTGTCCTCGAACGTATGGTGGAGATGCAATTTTCACGTCCGAATGACTTCGGCGCACTGCGCAATTGAAGTCGAACTTGGTCATTCATGTCTTTTGATTCTTTCAGGATCGCATTGATAGTACCTCTATTCGTGTGTATGGCTTGTTCATTTTCCAGCATGTGCTCCATACGCTCCATCAACGGTGTAGGAATGCGGGCGGCCAACTCCTCGCGCTGGTCTTGTCAAAAGGGCATAGGGAACATTAAGCCAACGACTTTTGTATCTGAGCTAGATGGAAAGAAGCCTGCGAAACCGTCCATAGGCATTATGATCATCCAATCGCAAAGGTGCACCGTCCTGTTCAGATCTGACCATGATTTGAGTAAGTCTTTTGCAGCCTGGTACGCATTTGCGGCTCTATTCGCATCTGCTACCGCGTCGTATTCCGCATTTCCGTTGACCATGACCTCGTTGACTCGGTCTGAGACCCAAGAATGCGTTCTTGTGACCATCTTTTCGAAAATGGAGCGAACGAATTTGAGCCACAGTTTACGCATGTCGATCATTTCAGCGATCCCATTCCGTGCTCTTCTCGCATTGAGTGCATACTGGAACGCCTCTAGCTCTTGCCCAATATAATTGAAACAATCTCTTATGAGCTTTACGTATCGGGATGAGCAAGCCATATGAAAGTGTGAATAATATCCTACATAAAGTCGAACGCGAATTGCTAGTTCTTAGGATCATCAAGATTCTTCTCTTTCTATCGTGCCCCCAACATGGGGACCATTCCTTCCCAGAGACGTGCACGCATGCAGAGATCCTTGCCTTCAAGGTGACATTGAGGCGGTCCGGGGTCTTCAGGAGTCGCTCTTGGAGGGAAGTTGACGCGGGGTTCCAAAGTGGGAACGCCCAGAGTGCATACGGGGTCCCGAAGAGTGTTACTTCATCTTCTCTTATAAGGGGAAGAGTACCTTTTTCTCTTATGTAGAGATTGCCCTCAAGGGTGAAGTCCAGGAAGAAATAGAGCGTGCTGGGGGGTATGATGAGATCGACTAGACGTGTAAGCTCTGCTCGACACTCACGCGGCAGTATCTAAAGCTAACTGAATTCAATTTCGCGAATGCCCTCTCGATTAAACCCTTTTGTTTTAGGCTGGGGCATCTCTCCAGTCAGTGCTTCGAGCATGGCTAGCCGCCCATTGGCCTTGCCCATGTGGCGCCTACCCTGGGTCTTGCTGACGCTGATCGTGATAACAGCCAGATTCAGACGCAACGGGCCTTCCTAAGCAGGATTTATCAAGGTGAGTTTGTTAGTTACTGATAGCTTAGGCAATAAACAGCATAACTTGCTCTTATCTGCTACAAAGCCTTCTACTAGTGTCTGCCTGCTGCCTGCTCAAGCGCTACTTTCTAAGGGTTCTAAATAATTGAGGATTAGCTACTCGGGCAATATAACTTTAGTCTAAACGAAATGTTAGCTGTTACATATACTATAATAATATAGCCCTTACTCCTTCATTGGGGTCCCATATGACTGATAGCCTAAAAGGTATTCTGAGCTTAGTTCTGTTAGGCTAAATGAAAATACGAACAAGAAAGAAAAGCAAACAACTGAGAGGGCAGCAATTAGAACACTATAGAAGACATAAGGTAAGAAGAAGCAGGTAGAAGCGTTGCTGAACATATTGACATTAGAGTATAGCAAGCGACCGGGTTCTGGCAAAATAGGTGTGGAAGAGCTTAATGGGGGATTTTATAGCCTTAACTTTGCTTAAGGAACGAAGCTTCTTTGTATTTTTCTTTTTGCTTGGCTAATAAGATAGAAAGATGCCCTTGATACCCTTGGCATTATAATGTGCTGGTCTTTGATGCACAATTCCTCTATGCCTTCTGATAGTTAGGGAGGTGTGGTGTGGGACTTATGATCGCCCCCTTATCCATATTTCTGGAGTAGGGAGGAGCTCATTGCTGAAAGAGAGACATTGAATAGACCTACGCTGCCCCCTCCGGCCCCCCACTACTTCTTTGCATAAGTTGTTTATCTGCGCTGTTACTTTACAAAGTGTACTTGAACCCCTTGCCCCTTGTCTTCCTTAATGCTGATTGATTGATTGATTGATTGATTGCTGTAGCCTGGTGCTCCTAAGATAACGGAATTTTTAATGGGCATAAATACTAATGTCTTTGGCTCTATATTGTATGTTCTCTTGTGTTGTCAGGTGGATATTGCTACCTTCTGGGCAGGTAGCGCTGTACGATGTAGAATGCTGCGTTATTCTGGCTGCGTGCATGTTTGTCTTGCTTGGTGTTAAGGCAAGGGGTTTTTTACACGCCCTTGATTAGCGTAGCTTGCTGTGAAGGCACGGAGGAGTAAAGGATGATACGTTATAAAGTAAAGCTGTTGAAAGTTTTTAAAATTCTGTAGCTTAGTTCGGAGGAAAGCTATTTTATAGCATGGGGTCTATAATGCATGACAGTCTACCTTATCTACGCCTCTTATGCGGACGGGGTTCCTGCTAGGAAGCATTGGTTCTGAATCCTGGATATGTATTCACAGGGCTTCCAACGGGCCGTACTACGGTCCGTACAAAGTGAACCGTAACAGTCACGTGTTCAGTACAAACGTACCGAGTTCGTGAGCCATACCGTACGTTTAATAATGCCCAGGTACAGTACGTAGTACAGATTGTATTATCCTTTTAGGAAGTTTGTATACACAGTTATGTTACAGCTATCCAACCCCTAAGTACCCTAGGCTTAGCACAGGGTATATAGGCTCCTCGGCCTCCGTACCTCTGCCTCTGACCCTAAGGTTTACTCTCGTTACCCCCTATCCTGCATTCCCTCTCTGTGACCTGTGTTTCCTAATCAATACCTCTTACACTACGCCTCTTGCTGCCTTACAGGCCTTATCTAGTCCTATCTGCTCTTGTTACTAGGGAGAACTAGTTATTTTATAGTTAATTAGACCTTAATCTTGCGTCTTTAGAGACCTATAGTCTTAGCTGTTTTAACTAGAGTACAGCGTACTTTAATTAAATTATACTACTTGTACAGATCACGTAAGCTGTAACAGTTACAATACGTACACCTACCTCTCCTCCTCCCTGTTGTACGAACGTACACAAAATCTCACCCGTACAGGCCTCAAAATCGCCCAATCGTACAGTACTACGCCTCGTTGGAAGCCCTGTGTATTCACCTGTTATGTGCCTACGGAAGAACCATGAACGCCGGCGTTGGCTTGGCGGGCAGCGTAAACGCCTACTGTGGAGACTTTCCTAGAACACTACTATGACCCTCAAATTCTCACCTACCTATCGTCTCCTCCAGCCTCTCTTGGACTTCCCCCTCCAGCCTCCTCGAAGCCTCAACTAATGTATCCGTCTCCCCACTTTGGATCACAACACCCCATCCACCGCCCTCACAATAAACAAGCACGACGGCTCTGAATGGTCCGGGAGAAGACTGCACTGTTATAACTTGACCCGTGGCCTCTATCTTGTTTCTGAGGACTTCGGGCATCGACTGTCATTGACCTTTGCGTTAATTGCAAGATGTAACAGAATTAGCCGGCCTATTGATAGTTGTATACTTCACTCTGTTGATGAGGGATAATTCCTCGTTGGAGCGGCGCAAAGTGGCGATGAGGTCGGCCTTAGTGTTGAGCGTTTGAACATTCATACTAGATGTGGTAGCATAGTGGGTGCGTGGGTTTGGTGCAAATTGTAGCCGCGGAAAGTTGAGCGGAGCGGGCAGGAAGAAATGTATTGTTTACGCCTCCGTGTGGTTGGTGAAAGAGGGGCTCGCCTGGCCATTGGATCTCTATCCGTCAAGGTAGGCAGCTGCGGAATTGAGTGTTCTGGATCGCGACAACATTCTAGGTATTAAGGGTCGTTAATTTTCAGGTTGCCATTCTACCTCCTTTGTATTCTTTACAGCATATTCTCAAACAGCATGGAGTATAACCAAAGTAGAGTAACCCTATTCAAACCCCTTTCTAAAAACAGGGAGAGTATAGAGGAGATATAAGTCTATGTCTAGAACTATCTTCTCCCGCCTGTGATGTTCCACTTTAAGTGATAAGAAGTAATACTTCATTTAGCTCCGCCGCTCCATTAGACTCTGCACGAATTCAACACATCCGACTGTTACTTTCCCATACTACGTCCTCTCCAACCAAATAATAATAGTAATAATAAAATAAACATACTCTCAAAAACCCCCAAAACTTTCCCCACTAAAGCCACCCAAAAAAAACCAAAAAGAAACGCCCATTACAGGTCGCCCAGATACACCACTTTTATGGTTTTCTGTTGTTGCAGCTTGAAACCCTACACTCAATCCAAGCTTACTCGAACCCGCGCACTCAAGAAACCTTAAGGAATTCTCGGATAGATGGAGTGAAATATTGGAAAGGTGTAGACTTTCCTGCCAAACCATCCCGGCGTCGAGTTGAGATATGGTGTGGTTGAAAATTCTTATAATTATATAGACGTAGAATTTAAGACCAATACATTTTGGCGGTAATAGAGTGGGAGGTTGGATCTAAGAAACATGCGATTGTGAGGGTGAGTGGTGTGCATGGACTTGCGGTGACTGAGCAAGGGGCTTTCACCTCGCTGCCACATGGAGATTTTGTGTCAGACTTAGAGGAGAGCTAGCAGATTTTCAAAGACTACGGTAAGGTACGCTTGAATACGATTGGAGGCGAATGTTGGTCGTAGGGCCTCAAGTCCGCGAAGATATCTGATTGGGGCCATGCACACACATAACTTGAAAGCTTTTTGATCGCAGCAATCGACAGCAAGGGCTTCTATAGGCCAATCAGTTCGTTTAATCCACCCTTTTACCATTCGCAATCAAAGGGGCTCACATGCTTGCGTGCAATTTGAGTTCCCTCCTAAAAAAAAAAAAAACTCCGGGTAATGGTGCGCACTCACGATACACTACATCAAGGAACATACAGCTCGGTGACAGCCAGTCACATCTCTGCCATCAACTTACCCCTCAGTTTCCGTATCATCGTCCCTTTCTTTATTGCCTCAAGTGTTCTATCCATCCACCTCCTACCCCTGCTCCCCATCATCAACTAGCTGCTGGTGTGGTAATAGAGAGTTATGAGCAGAGAGGTGAGATTAAGGTTTGGCATGATAGGGTCCCGAAAGTTAGGGTTGCCTAAATCTACTTACTCCAAGATAAACGCCTCTACTCACCTCTCTCACTTTTGAATCCGATTGACTAACTCCCTAATAATCGCTTCCCATACCTCTCCTCAAACCCTTCAAAACCACCCTCCAGATTAGCAACAACATCGATGTGACGCTCCACCCCAGACAGGATTTACCAGCTAGCCAACGTATTCGGAGAAGCGTATGTTATCAATGTGATGTTTTATTCCCGTTCCCGGCGTTCGCGAGTACGGCCAAGGGACTCATAGTATGGGTTACGATGTCGAAAGTGTGGGCAGGGTTAGTGTAGTAAGCAACGTGCATGGCTGTTTCTAGACCTGCTTAGGGGTGGGTAAATAGGAGAAGGGTTAGGAGGGCGGCGAGGGAAGGGGTTATACAAACTGATGATTTGACGAGAGAAGTTGGAGACAATTTCTTGCTCTTAGATAGTTTGAGAAAGGCAAGGGAGTGAGGAGGCATAGTTGGAATGCTGGGAGGTTCAAGAGATGGCTTAAAGAGTTAAGATACGTTGGCATTTTGTGTTAGCTACAGAAGTTTTTCTAGGTTATAAGTCGATAGTGGATGTACCTGCAAATGCTCCGGCCACTGCATCACCATTACCCTAAACCATTGACTTACCATTCCCCACAACCGTGCACTATTCTACTCTCCACTCACCTTACCGACCGCCACTTCACTCATCAACCCAACCCCAACGCAACATCAAGCAGCCCTCCTTCCCCGACATATCAAAACACCCCTCCTCCCACTTCGCAAAAACCATAAGAACAACCCTCTTCAACAGCCTTAATTCCCAAATCATAAGTAGTACATCCCCATATGCCCAAGCCTCCCTTCCACTCATTTACCTACTCTGCCCCCACACCCCTTGCCAATACGCTCCCATCCAACACCTCAAGCCAGGCCTAGCAACAGCTCTCTACAGCACACACACCCCATCCCCGAAATCTGCATTCGACGTCCTGACATACACAACCCCCTGCACGCCCGCCTATGCTATAGCACTAATTACCTATTCCCTAACTCCCACACGTCTTGGGAAATCCTGGCCAAAATCTCGCATTAGGTCAGTATAATAATGGTCTTGGAAACACTTTTCTCAGATCTATAGTCTGGGATTGGGGGAGGTTATAGGTTGGGATTTCTGCCCCGGATCGTCCGATTGCTCAAGAACCTAGGCGTACTGTTGCCGATATTGTCCTCTCACATAGACGAGCTGGAAAAGACGGGGGTATGAGGAGACGAGCATCTGATTGTACCGAATGTGAGGCATACCGGGAATAGTGGGATTCGAAGCGGGAATGGTTATGGTGATAGTGTTAGTGGGTGTGGTAGATGGAATTAATAACGTGAAGGGAGATGGAGCTGCAGGTATTGCAAGGCATAAGTGGTGGTTAGAAAGCACCGAAGAGGAAATATCATAACGATATGCCACGATACGACACGATATGGTTGGGAGAAGACTTAATGTGGGTTAGATCAAGGGATAATGCAGAGTTAGTGATATACCTGCATGTCATGATGGATCTAGGGTTTCGGGTGCTTACTTGGCAGGATATTTTCAACCATCCGCCATCAACAGAAACCCAGAAACCTATGACCTCACACACAATGCAAAGCAGACACAAGAGCTCATGTACCACCAAAAGAAAAACAAAAATCACATTGGAAAGCTATGGGATCGACCTAGCCACTTGAACTCGAACTGCAAAGTCCAAAACCCACCACCTAGCAACCACCTACTACGCTCGCCAATCCCAAACTGCCACCCGTCGGACTCCTACTAATAACCGGTTTGACAGCCGGCACAGGAGACATTGGATCTCTTTGTGACGAGCCCTGGCTGGAGCTTCCCGAACTACCGGTTCCACTGCCGTTACTTCCCTTCCTTCCATTCAGTAACAGAGCCGCGTGGAACGGGTTACTGAGAACAGGTCCAGAAGGAGAAGCAAGTTCGTCGAAGCTGTCGGTGAAGCCCGAGATATTCGACAACATGGAGGAAGAACGGCCACGTCCGCCACGGAGCGAGCCGGGAGTACCGTTGACCTGGGCAGAGAGTGAGGGGAATGTGAAGCTGGTGAAAGCGTTCGCGTGAGGAGACATGCTAGTGGTAGTCCCTGGAAGGGGCCCTTCAGGAGTTGTAGGAACCGAGGGTTGTTGTTGGGATTGCTGTAGGAGAAGGGCCTCGTAGTGCTGGATCGTCTGCACGATTTGCTGGGTAGAGAGGTGATATTCGGCAGTACGGCGCTCATAGCTGTTGATGTTAGAGCGGTACTGGTTCTCAATGTTCGTCCTCTCTTGAATCAGTGCAAGACGTTCCTGTTGCTTGCGCTGCTTGGCAGAGAATCCCTCCTTGTTGGCAGTGATGAGACGTTCGTGTTGCTCATTGAGTCTTGTTTGCCTTTGCTGAAGACGCTCCCTCTTCTGCATGACGGCGGCAATATCAGACTCAATGCTGGAGACTTGACGGTCTGCCTCCATTTTAGCGTTCTCAAATTCGGCAAAGACAGTTTTCTTGTGCTCTCTTTCCTTTTGCCATTCCCGCTTCTTAGAAGCCGCATCATCTGCCTCATCCTCCGGAATCTCTCCTAGCTCTTCAGCTTTGATGGCGAAATCGGCAGCAGCGTCCTCGGCCTGGCGGATGTTTTGGTTAAATTGAAGAACCCTTTGGCGTTGGCGTTCATCGTTACCTCCAGCATTTGCAACGCGGTTACTGAGAGTATCCACCTCTTTCTTGATGGCGGTGATGGCGGCTTTGTGATCCTTGCGATTCCGCTTCAGGCGACCGCGGAGGTCCTGGAGTTTCAGATCGGCGGCGGCGATCGAGTTGCGCAGAGTAGTCGTAGGTGAAGAAGGGCGTAAAGTTTGATGGGCAGGAGGAGAAGCAACAGAGGCTGCAATGTCTTGTGAGCTTAACGGGCCGGGAGGGATTGCATTGATGATGCTTACCTTGCTCGTCAATGGGACCCGTTGAGGTAATAAGGCTTGTAGAATAGAAGACTTCACCGTCCGAGGTTCTAACAAACTCGCAATAGTAGTTGGAAAGAGCCGTCAGACCAAAAATTTCTCCAACCCACATGCCTGTTCCCTCTTCTCCCAAATACTCAAGCGAAGTTCCCTGCCGAATCCGGGTAGAGCTCCAATCTGCACCGTTCACACGAATGTAAAAAGGCTTCGACTTGTCGATGCCAGACCCAGCGTGCCCATTTTGCTCGACCCGCGAACCATCAAAATCCTCCCCGTTGTACAAACTGACGCGGAAAGAAATGTCCGTGTGGCCAACTTCTGAAATCCAAACTCGGTCGTCTTCCGATCTCCAAACAGCATTTCCAATGTGATTTGCATCTTTTGCATTAGCCTCCCCAGCGTCGTTGGCTGCTCGGCTACTCTCCATCTCTTTTAAAACTGTAACTTTTGTGCTCGCCAGGGCAGCCCAAAACGGTTGATGGCTCCTGACAAGCGTTGCCTGCTTCCTCTTCCTCCTGCTACTACTCGCCTTGTCCTTGGAAGAATGCGCTGCGGGTGACGGCCCAGGGGGGCGGCCGTCGGTACTCGAAGAACTTGGCATGTCCGCATTCGTATCGATACTGGCCGAGTTAGTGCGAAGAAGGTGGACGGCGGCTTCAGGGTCAGTCTTTTTGCCCGTTGGGAGCGATTGCGCTACCTCCCGCCTAGAAAGAGAACGCCGAATGATGCGAACAACACCTTGAGCCAAAATGTGAATACCCAACACGCTTCGTGGCCAACCGTGGGGCGTCGAGAAACTTTCGTTGTAGGAAGGAGTGGAAGGTGGGCTCGTCAAAAAATCAAGGCCTCCCCGGGCGAGCCCAGTCCATAGGAAATGGACAATGTGTTGCCGGAGAGGCCTGAATCGGAAGAGGTGGTTGGAAAGAATGATGACGAAACAGATGAAGATGCTGTTCGTGGTCCCATTTTTGCCGGCTGCGGCACCCCCTAACGCTATGGCAATAACGGCCTGGGCAAGATCCAAGAAGAAGTTCTGCACAGGGACCCAGAGCACGAGCCAAACCACGAGTATGAAGGCGTCGGCGAAGATGATGGTGAAGAGCGAGGGGGTGCCGCCGGAACCCTGGAATATGTCGGTGAATGAGGGGAAGGCGGAGAGGGCTGAGAGGGGAGTTCCGGCCTGGGGTGGGACGAAGGTGAGTGTTGCAAACAGGAATTGGACGATGGTGAGGACGGTAGGGGGTAGTTGGAGGAGGAGTATGAGAATGGCGAGGACGTCTCGCAGAGGACAAGACGAGAGAATGGTAGTGGCTACGGTTAGCATGTTGCTCGCATAGGAGGCCGACTTGGAGGCATTGGCGTCGACCCGACGGGGGGTGGTAGGGACTGCGTGATCGAGGGGGCGACCATTGTCGTACTGGCGGCAGGCCTCGAGGCCATCGAGGGAGACGTCAGAAGCGGCGCGGGCCCTGTCATCGAGTTGAGACCTCGCAGGCGCGATGCCGGCCATGCTTGAGGCTGCGGGGAGGCCATGAACTGAGTCCTGGAGCGTAGCCGGCTGCGTCATATGCTGGTTTACATGCTCCTGGGAGAGCGGCGGCGTGGGCGGATGGGGTTTCCCATTGGCGTGTCCGTTGAGTTGCGGGTTGCTCTTCTGCTTGTGGATGCGCTTTCCTGGAGCCGCGAGGCCGCTCTCATGTCGCTTGTCGTGTTGGTTCGCCGCGAGTCGCCCTTTGCTGGACTTTGTGACCATATGGCGCGGTGGACGGCTGCCGTCTCCCGGGGTCGGCTCGACTGCGCGTGCGGACGAGCCAGACTGGAATAACGGGAGCCGCTGCTCAGCGAGGGCGGGGAGGGGGATCGAGGGGGAGGGGAGGAGGGGGGGGGGGGTTTGAGGGGGGTGAGGGTGAGATGTTGCAGTGTCGAAGGCTGCAAAAGGTACCGCCTTGAGCCTTGAGCCTTGAGCGCCTCTTTGCCAAGCCCCGATTTGCTTTCCACGGAGCCTGCCACAGGTCAAAGTCCGCTGGCTGGCAGCAGCGGAACCTTGGTACTGTGGCCTGTGAATTTTGAGGACTCGCTTTTGCTGCAGCTGACTATTTCCTCCGAGCGCGCCGCCGCACGATTCGATTGCACGCTTATACGCTTGCACGCTTGCATGCTTCGTCGCTTCGTCTCCCAAAGTTTTCATGTGTGGGCGTGCGTTTTAACTGCATCCTCCTGGCTCGCTCGGCCAGCAAGCAAGCACACGACAACTGCCCGGCTCTGTTGCGCCCCCTCCTCCCCAGGCCCCCAAGCCCCCAAGATGCCCTCCCGACCTCTGTCGGCAGCCGCATCCACCTCTCACAGCGGGCTTGTCGCAGCTCCATCATGTACCGTCGATCCCAACGCCGAAAGAGGACATGCCTCAGGGATCGCTGTTCTTGCGCCTTGAAAAGCTCGACCAAATGGGTCGTCTAAGCCAGAAAGAAGCTTGCTGCTCACGCTCCTGACTTTCATGCAGCACGCTTGCCCACCCCCCTCATCCCCTCTTTGGCGGCCAAGGCCATGCCAGATCCCCCCCGTTCCCACCGGCGCCTCCCTCTTGAAATCCCTCTGATATCACCCGCGATGCTGCTGTCCTCTCCTGCTGCTCCCGCCTTGTTCCATTGTTGCACAAACAGTTTGCAGCCGCCAAACAAACTCCCCGAGACAGCCAATTACCACCCCCCTAGCCCCATTTTAGCTGCTCTTCTTCATTTCCGTGCGCCGGGCCCCCCTGGGCAACGGCCCTCGTTTTTATCGGCGCGATGGGATCGGCAGCGAATCGAGGCCTGCCATGTCCTGTCGGACCGCACACCGCATCACTCTGCTCACGCTGCACACGCTGCATCGTCTGAACAGCCTGTGGAGCGAAAAGGCGTGCCACCCCGCGCCTGCCTGTCTTGCTTCAATGTGCACTCCCCCCCCCCCCCCCCCCCCC